TGCCAAGCACATCAATGTTCTCTTCTATACGTAAAAGAAACTTAAATAGCTAGTACTTGCTAAAAAAACAATATGAAGTGAGACTTTAGACACACTGAATCCAGGCCTATTATAAATATAGGTGTAGGGTCTGCGATGAGAAGACTATGAATCTGGACTGGATATCAGATACCAGCTGGTAATCCCTTTATCAGTAACTAGACTATGATTGACCACTGTCTCTCTCCCCATGGACCCTACTGGTAATCCCTTTATCAGTGGTCAGTGCTCCTATCAGATTATGGTAGTGCCAGGAAAAGTGGTGAACTGGTGAGCAGAGCTCAAATGAGATGTTTTCCTAATGAAATTTGTCATCTGAAATCTAAGCTAGCCTAGCTTAGATTTCTCATTCTATTATGAGCGCCATCATTATTTGTAGTCCCACAGCAAGACTCTGATGTTCACAGCTTTCACATGGGCTACAGTCATACAAGGAACCATCTAGTTTCTACACTGTACAACTGGCAACCATGTTCCATACTGTAATGCATATATTATTACATTCCTTTCTCCACTACGAATTAATTGCATTAACATGCCCAAGAAACTAAATTTCCATGTGCTTCATGTGGGGAAAATGTGTCTTTGAAGTCAAGGGCATTCAGTGTGAAGGTGAATATAAACAGTTGTTCCATGCCGAGTGTATTAACTTTAACTCTACAGCCTACAGTGCCCTAGGCACCAGCTCAATTCCTTCCCAGTGCCTTCAGTAGCAACCTCAGCAGCCAAAATCTGTTCAGCCATTGAACCACACTGACATTAAAACCTGCACTACAAATCCTGACAGTTCGGATGAAGGTGAAAGTGATGACTCACTATGCCTTGGATCACCAAAGTTCTCCTCCTCACCCTGAACATCGAAAAAGAAACCCAACAACCCAACAAAGCCAAAAGCAAAAGTTTTAACAATACTCAACGTAAACTGCCAGAGTATTCGTGCCAAGAAGCAGTCATTCGCAATTCTAATACATCAACACAATCCAGATTGAGTAATAGGGACAGAATCCTGGCTGACAGAAGACAAACGCAGTACTAGTGAAGTGATCCCCACTGATTACTACAACATTGAAAGAAGGGATAGACCCAACGATCCCCATGGCGGTGTATTCCTTGCGATCAAGATGGATCTTTTGGCATCCAGAGAAATTGAACTAGAAACTGACTGCGAGCTCATTTGGTGCAAGATCAGCATGCCAGGAGCCAATACTCTCCATGTTGCTGCCTTCTACAGGCCCCATGAGGGAGATGAAGAGAGCCTTACAGAGCTAGAAAGATCCTTGTCAAGACTGAGCCCCACCCGCTCTGTTGTAATAGAGGGTGAATTCAACTTACCGGGATGGGATTGGAGAAACCAACAAGTCGGCATTAGCAGATATCCCAATCTCCACCGCAGCCTGGGATTCTCCTTGATGACCAAGGCCTCACCCAAGTAGTTACTGAACCAACCAGATACTAGAACACACTTGACTTACTCCTTGTCAGCAATCCAACTGTAGTCAGTGAGGTTACCGTTGTCCCAGGAGTGTCTGACCATGATTGCCCTCTCGTCAAGCTAGATGTGAGACTAACCTTACCTGATGCAGAGGAAAGTATTACTCTACAGCAAAGCTCAGTGGGAGAAGTTTGCTGAGAGCATGGAAGCAGTCAGAGATGAGAAGCTAAACTACCATATGCCTCTGTGAATGAACTATGGCTCATCTTCAAGACTGTCATCGAGAAGGGCATCAATGACTTCATTCCCCAAAAGCTGACTCTACACAAAGCCAACTTACCACGGGTGACAAATAGCATCAGATGACTCATCAAGAAGCGCGACAGATTGAGCAACAAGAGAAAACAACTCCAGAAGAGAGAGGGCCTCATTTCATATGCTATGGAAGAGCAGCTCTGTGATCTCAAAAGAACACTCAAATCCAAACTAAGGAAAGCTTACTGGAACTATGTCGAGTCCATCTTTACTTCTGTTGAAGATGATGACGAAGGTCCAGAGAAGTACAACTGCATGAAGAGATTCTGGCAATTCATCAAGCATAACAGAACTGACAGTGATGGATTTGCAGGACTCAAATCTGATGGCCTGCTAATCAGTGAACCTGCTGAGAAAGCTGATGCCCTGAATAGACAGTTCAAGAAGGTTTTCACACAGGAAATTCCAATCCCTCATCTGTAGCCAGATACACTTTTGAACATGAATCTATGCCTGACATAATACAAACCGTAAAGGGTATCGAGAGGATGCTTGAGAAACTCAAACCACATAAAGCGCCAGGACCTGATGGGATCACCCCATGCATCCTAAAGCAGTTATCCAGAGTCATCGCTCCCATCTTGTGCAGCATCTACAGACTCTCATATGACACCGGCGAGATACCAGATGACTGGCACAAAGCAAACGTAGTGCCTATTTACAAGAAAGGCGACAGAACCGAACTAAGCAACTATCACCCAATCTCCCTCACATGCATCTGCTGTAAGATGATGGAGCACATCCTTGCAAGTAGCATCATGAGGTGTGGCGATGAAAAGGACATCCTCCACCCCCTCCAAAATGGGTTCTGACATTCACAAGAACATGGAGCTAGGACTACAAGCTGATGTCATGGACTTCAGCAAAGCCTTCGATAAGGTTGGTCACCAGAGACTACTGCATAATCTGGACTACTATGGAGTGAGAGGCGAAAGCAACAGGTGGATCACCAACTTTTTTCACCATCAAACCCAGCAAGTCGTTCTAGAAGGCCATGCATCACCTGAGGTTGACGTCGACTCGGGAGTACGTCAAGGCTCTGTCCTCGGACCCTCTCTATTCCTGTTCCACACCAACGACCTGCCAGACAAGCTCACCTCTCCAGTACGTCTTTTCGCAGACAACACCATCATCTATCTAGCAATCAAGGGCAGACAAGACTCTCTTGAACTACAGGAGGACCTTAATAGACTGAATGGTCCTCTGAATGGATGATGGACCTCCTCTGTAAACCACATCCATCAAATAGAAATGGTACAAAGACGGGCCGCTAAATTCACCCTAAATCGGTACTACAACACCTCTAGCATGACCTCCATGCTCCAACAACTTGACTGGACCACACTCAAGCAACGCAGAGAAAATTACAGACAGGTGATGCTGTACAAGCTCCACAACAACCTGGTAGCACTCGATATAGCACCCTACATCAAACCTGTCACAAGACCCACAAGGACTGCCCATGCACATAGCTACCAAGTCTCCCGTTCAAGAACTGAGGAACATATTTTTCCCAGGACTGTGAGGAGTTGGAACAACCTGCCTTCAGGAACAGTACATGTATGTGCCACATTCCTAGAAACCGTCATAAGTCTAACTTCATGACTATCCTATTGAAACGCGTGTTAATTGTATAACACACGTTTCAATGGGATAGTCAAGAAGTTAGACTTAACGGTTTCTAGGAACAGGGCCCTGGCTCTGCAAGAATCTTCAACTGTGAAGGAGGTAGACTTAACCCAAAGAAGAAGAAGAAGAAGGACGTGTTTTGAGGCTCCTGTTTTTACATGTACATGTACACTTCAATATTAGCGAAAATCTGCCTATTAGCTATATTCATCGAGTTTTGTAATTGATACTGCAAAATTTGTCACTTGTATTACTTGTATCGTGTATTACGTAAGTATTCTACAGAATGTAAACTGAGCACAAAAAAAATGGAATTCTATAAGCCCATGCATCAACAAATACTGTTGATGTCATGTAAAAGAAAATTATTAAAGGAAATGGAAAACTAGAATTATTTACTTACCAACCGAACCTTTTTTATTTCAAACTTGGGACGCACTTGCCAAATTTCTAACGTGCACGTACATGTATTGTATTGCGCGCACGCCACGTAGAACTTTAACTTAAATTAAGCGCATGCGCAGAACGTTCATCCGCTCTTGGCGAATCACAGCCTCATTTTACTAAATTGGTGCTGACAAGGGCCTTCTTATTGGCTATCAATGGCTTCCATTCACTCAATTTTATAAGATATTGGTGCGAGGAGCAAGCTTGCAATTTTCTGTTTGATTCAATACCAAAATTACGATATTTCAGCCAAACCCTCTATTTGTTACAATTTTTTCAGCATCCTTAACCACTTGACTGCGGACCACGTACATGTACATGTTCTCGCTCTCGCATGCCTGTGCGTACCACTAACATGTACGTGCTTAGGGCAATTTACTTTCAAGACCGTAGCACAATGCCTAGCCCTACTGTGTAATTAGCACTGCAATGATGTTATACAGGGGGAGGGGGAAGAGGAAGAGGAAGAGCATGCTGAGAAAATATCGAAAGCTGGAATTGCAACAATTTATAAAATACATTTTTAAGAAAAAAGGACAGAAATGGCATTCTGACATCACATGCTATACCCACAAATATTTGTGACTTGCCTTTGTTCAATACAAAATGAGTAAAAGTCACATGTTCAGTGTGAGATCATGGATCCTGCAAAAATCTGTTCTGCATTTGTAGGATGTTGTGATGCCTACTACTATACTCTGTACCACTTTACGGACCTGTTGTCATTAATGTAGGAACTTATACAGATTGGCAACCCCTCTATCCCCCCAAATAAAATAAAAAACACAACAAAAAAACATGCACGTTCGCGGTAAGAAAGTACTCATAGATCAAAAATAGGATTTTTGTTCAGTTGGGGTCGGCAGCTCTGCACTGGAGCTAAACCAATAATACAAACAATTTATTTAAAATAGGCAAATATGGTTTAGATTATTGTAATTTCATTTTTTTTGGACAAAATTGTCCCTTGACTAAACCTGTAACAAACTTATAGTATTTGATCTTTATGTTGCAATGCAAACAATTTCATTGTCAGAATTACCTCTTTCAAATACCTTTAGATATGTTGAATATATTCCCAACCAGTATACAGAATCACATTACTGGAATTATACTTTCTTGTTCATTTATCACACAGATGTGAGGACTTTTACACTTTGAAGAAAAATTGATTGATGTACCAGAAAGGAACAATTTATTTGACCACTCAGTGCAAAGATGGCCATTTTCTTTGACCATCGAGTCCAGTCAGGGTCATCTAGCCATGTAGACATTGCATGGCATAATGAGCAACCTTTACTGGCTGTGGCCATGAGAGGACAGCAGGGGGAAGGAGGTGTTGTTCATGTTTTCAATGAAGAGGTAAGCAAACTTTATTCTGTTCTCTCTGTCTTCCATTTTTCACAGTTTCATTTCCCATTTTTTTTCATTCATTGTTTTCATTTCCATTGAATCATCTTTGAATAACAAGAAATATATTTTATTTGAATATATTCTTGTTTAAGTTAGAGTGAAGAAGTTTAATATTGCAGTCATAAAGATATTCAATTTTCTGTGTTGGAGGTACATTCAAGGTTTAGTTATCCTTCCTTTGAATATTAAAGAAACCCTAATTTGTTACGTGCTGACATATAGTTCTTTACAACATTCTCTGAATCATTCTCTGTATCTGACTAGGGCGAGCCACTTCCAGTGGCGAGCCTCCAGCGCTCATGCTATTCCACCTCGCTGGCCTGGCACCCCACCCATCCGTCGGTGGCCGTGGGCTGGGAGAGCGGAGAGATTCTGATCTGGAACGAGCAGGATCAGCAGCTCCAGGAAGCCAGTAAGCTGCACAAGGCCCAGGTTTGCCTGCTCCAGTGGAGCGCCAGTGGTCAGCGCTTGCTCTCAGGAGATAAGGTTTGAATGAAATTATGCTGTAAAATTTGAGTGAATGTAGACCAGAAGCACTGGTCTAGACTAAAAAAAGTTTCATGCCTAGAAAAAATGAACTCTAAACTTTTGTAAATTATCAAGTTTCTTGCTGCAAAAATGGTTTGGTTTACAATTTGAGACAATTTTTTTTCACAATTTATTGGTTTACCATACATATACAAATAGATGGACCCAGGGACAACTCGGCCCCGCTGCCCAAAATGGTCAGTTTTTGCTGGTTACGGTTAGGATTAGGGTAAAATGACAATAAATGACAGTTTTTGCAGCGAGGCAGATCTGTCCCCGGTTAGCCCGGATCCAAATAGATACCTTGAACATCTTTTTTTTCTTCTAGAGAAAACAGGGAAAGGGCATGTAATTTGCAGAAGTACAGTACCATTCAACATTCATTGATTCAAGTTCCTTACGGCGTCTATACCGTCTTTTATATCCTGCATCAAAAATGAATTGGTTTTTGATTGGTTAAGAGCTTGTCAAATGACCAGAAATATTTCAACTATTTTTAGGTTGCTCTGAAAAAGTACTATTTGAGATTAGAAGTACCGTAATTAACGGTGTATGAACCTCCCTTGTGTATTATTGGCACCGGCCTCTTTTTCGCCCTAAAAAAAAAAAAAACTTTTTTTTTTTTTTTTTTTTTTTTTTTTGCCGACTCTGTCGGCAGCAAGCCAGGTCCGTGTTAAAAAACCCACACGGGGAAGGCCTTTCATTGAACTGCGAGATGCAGCTGAATGTGTAAGATCATTAATGTAAATTAAAAAACAGTAGAGGACCTAGGATAGAACCTTGCAGTACGCCGTGTAATAGAAGAAAAATTGGAGGAATTATTATTATAAACTACATATTGATATCTATCAGAAAGATTACTTTCAAACCAAGATGACAGACAAATTTGAGTGTTGTTCCAGTTTCCAAGTGGTGAGTCAACACACCGATTGCTGAGCTGGCAGACATTGCCAGGCATAGCGCCAGGTGGAGGGCATAAATCAAAACTTAATTTTTTTTTGTTTTTGTTTTTGTTTTGTGTACCGAGTATAAGACGCACCCCGACTTTGATTTTTTTTCGGCGGCAAAAAAGTGTGGTTAATTCACCATTAATGACGGTACTTTTCGGGAGATCATTTTTTAATTTTTTTTATTTGATATTTTTCTTCAAATCTTGATATAATAATTTTTTTTTAGTTTTAATTCTTCTTTCGTAGAATCTGTAATTTTTAACCTTTAAAATTTCAATGAAATTTTTCTAAAAAAAGATTTTTTTTGAGGGGGGGATTTTTAAAAAAATACATTTTTGATGCATGATATAAAGCAAATATACCATGCCTTCTTTTTGGTTAAAACTATGGGCCTCAGTGACTCTAATAGTACTATTTGAGTCACCTCTTGCGCATAGTTTTAACCGGAACCTCTCAAGACATTGTATTTTGCACGCACTAAGATCGCCTGTGCTGTGGAGACCAGTTTGTGTGTGCGAGCTCCCGTCCTTGATGTATTTCACTTCTCAATCTAGGTATTGTCAAGGCTACTCCTGCCTGCGCCATGCAGCGACAGAAGCTGACTCAGTGTTATATGCTCTGGCTCCTAACCATTAGGAGCCAGAGCATATAACACTGAGTTCCTATAGGGAATATATTTATTCAGAAGGTCATATCTCAGCCAATACTTAACATATTCAATTGGTTTTCGACATTATTTTATTTGCTCTTTGGAAAAATGAAGAAAAAATTGAGAAATTCTAAAAATAGATTTTTATGACATCACAGCTTCGGTATTCTATAGACTGGTAGTGGTAAAACTGCGGTTCAAGGGTTTTGGGTGCAAAATATCCATTCAATATTGTTTAGATATTGCCTTCAGAGGTTTAGATGGCAGTAATTTAACCTAAATTCACAAAAAAGCAGAAATATATGCCCCAATGTTCAATGTTGAAGTGCATTCGCGATATCTATCCAGGCTGGATCGATATGATAATTTACCAAATATATCAGTAAGTAGGCGGTTTCCTGGCAAAATTTGTATCACACGTATTAGTCAAAATATATTCTTTCACATGATTAGTAAAAATAGCTTCCATTACATTTTTCGAGAGGGGGGCGTTTCAAAAACTGGTCTATACCTTTAATGCTCCGAATGTTTCTTTTTCTCCAATTGCTCTTTTTTCTTATTTGTTTTACATTATTGAATGGCAACTGTTTGAATGTAGACGAAGGAGCTACATTCATCCAGGTCCGCATCTGACCTGGCCGGCGGTACATGTAACGCTGTAGTCAATGAATGCTGACTATAAATGAAATGAAGATCAGAATTATCAATTTTTTTAAACCCAGTAAATGCATGTAAAAGTTGCAGGAAACATTACAAATTTTGATTTGACAGAATTCTGTACCAAGTAAATATTTGGATGTGACTGTGGCAGAACCAATTGGTCTTTATGGATAAGGTGTTCCAATGTTATGGAAAAGGTCTTAGATCTGAACAATCAATTTTAGGAACAAAAGACCTGTCTGACAGTCATAAAATGAAGCAGTAGCCAGTAGTATACATATGAATGTAGTGTTGTATTTTTCAGTCAAAACCAAATGAAGATTTATCTTTAGGGTAAATGGACAAAATAAAACAAACTAGGGCCTATAAACAGAAAATACAAAGAATATTGGATAATTGTAGAATAGAGAAGGAAGGTTGTAATTCCTACTTTCATGAATGCTCCAAATTGTAGGAAGGGAGGTTGATCATGTGGAAGAGTGATGGGAAGGGGCATCTCTCCAACAGCCCTATCAGTCAGCTGCCGTCCCAACAGACCCCCACTCAGTGCCTCTTTCCCCATGGTGGACCAGGACAGGAATCAGGGTAAGAACCCAATCAGGGAAACCCGTATTTGGAGAAGAAAAAATGTAAATTGTCATAACAATCTGAAAAATTGTACAGAACAAGCACTTGCCATTAGTGCCTACACAGAATTTTCTTTTACCTTTACGTTAGTGCAGCAAGCTTTGCGCAGAAGATTAACCAATGACTTGTCCTAATTTAAAAATGTTATGACAATCATAAACATCATTTACTAATATAAAAGATGACATTGTTTTCAGAATACCATCCCTAGGCATGCAATGCACCGTCATTTGATTTTGGGGTACTTCAAAGTCATTTGAGCACCACTGGATATGTCAGATGGCTTTAATACTCTATAAAGAAATGTATGTTCTAAAAGATGGCATGGGTTATAGCCATCAAATGAAAAATATAATTCAGAGTTCTCTTCATGTTGAGGATTTCAACTAAACTAAGAAATATGGGTATCTAAATGATGAAATTGTGTACCTCTGAAATGTCAGATAAAAAACGTTCTGCTGTAAAGAAGAAAAAAAAGAAGAAAAAAAAAGGATCATTATTAAGTGTAATGCTTACATGTAGTTTTTGTTTTCATATTTACCCTGTTTGCATATCTTTCTTGATATATCTTTAACATTCTCACTGTCTCTGTTATTGTATCTCTCACCCTGTCTCTGTTATTAAATGTTCTCTCCATATCTGGAACTGTCCTTGACTCGTTGTTTCTATCTCTCTCATTCTCACTTCTTCTTTGTCTGTTTGTGTTGATCTCTGATGCTGTCCATGTCTCTCTGCCTCTCCATATTTGTTTATTACATCTATCATGTGCAGGAATCGGAGTGGAAGTGTACCATGGAATAACAGTATCTTCAGCAAGCCTTCTTCAAACAGTCTCATAGGGGATGGTAATGCCTGCTTTGTAGGGGGAGAGGAAGGTAAGTAAACCTTCTGAAAGACTTCATTCATAAGAAGGCTTGCTGCATATTAATCCTGTTATTCTAATTTCACAAATTAGATATTTCAAGAGCACATCTGTGAATGTAACACTATATAATTAAAATCACATAGATGGTGAATTTATTGTTTAGCAGATGTTTTCCCTCTTATTTTCTATACAGAGTGAGTCAAAAAAAATTTACACCGAGAAAATTGCTAATTATTTTAAAAATCATCTATGAACAGTAAATTATTATACATCTTATGAAAGAGTGTTTTATCCCAAATTTTTGGGTATCATTTTTGTGTGGTATGTCTTCACGCTTGGATGAACGGGAGGCATTGTTTGCGAGAGTGCAACAAATTTTGCACTACAGTTTGTATTATGTTGGGATTAGCGGAGTGAGAGAAAGAATTGAATGTATCAAATAAAATGCATTGCATTTGCTTTTTACAGAAGCAAAGTCACAAACGCACACACGTGCACAAAAGTTGGTTGATATTCGATATTTGATATGTGTGGCATTATTAATTTGTTAGGGATGTTATTTTGATCTGCAAAGACCGAATTAAAACCCAAATAAAAATTTAAAAATTATTCAAACATCACATAAGCAACTTTGGCGCAAGTCGATTTTTGCACTCTGGCAAACAATGCCCCCTGTTCATCCAAGCGTGAACACATACATGTACCACACAAAAATGATACTAAATGATTAGGGATAAAACACTCTTTCATAAGATGTATACTAATTTACATGTACTGTTCATAGATGATTTTTAAAATTATTAGCAATTTTCTAGGTGTAAACTTGTTTTTGACTTAACAAAGCTGTTTATAGTTGAGAAAAGTTCAATTTAGTTCTTAAAATATATATATACTGTTATATATTTTAGTATTGTTATATGGTGCAAATTTGGAATGGGTGCTATCTTATGATTCCATGATTAGAAATCGAATGTCATTCTCTATGTATGAAATGAATTATAATTGGGAAAAAACTGCTTTGGTTGAAAAGCTTCCCTATGCATTTCTCTCCCAATAGTATTGTGCTGGAATTGGATTTGATTGATTTATATCACGATGACAAATATTCACCTCCTACTGTTCTACAGGACACATTGTCTTTATGGATGACAAGGGCAATATGTCCCAGGCGGTGACGGTAGAAGGCCCCATCAAGAAACTGCTGTACAATAGCCACAGGAATGTCATGGTGGTGGTCACCAGATCAATGGCTCTCTCACAATACAGTGTGTCACAGGATGGCAAGCTTACAGAGATGATGAAGGTATGAGAAAGGTTGTCTTTATAGAAAATGTGAGGTAGAAATCAGTGAGAAATGTGTGTGCTTGTGTGTGAGAAAGAGAGATAGAGCAACTGTAAAAAATAAATTTAATACATGCTGTTTTTGTACAGTGAACCATGCTAACTGCCCCCCCACCCCCCTGTAGAAATTTTGTGACTACCTTATTTGCCTGCGATAAGGCCGCAGCGCCGTATAGGCCGCACCCCCGATATCGACATTTAAAAAACAAAAAACAAACAAAAACAAACTTTATGTCGAAGGCGGGATTCGATCTCTTGCGGACACATGTAGATTGGGACCCGTAACCAGCGCCTTAGACCGTTCGGCCATCCCAAACTGATGTAATACCCTGCTGTTTTCTCTGATGTATACATTGAAATGAATTGAAAATGGCGACTTCGCGTGCTGGATGCTTCGCGGCAGCTCCGTTAAACGGACCCTTCTTTTACTTTTGCAATGCATTGGCACGAACTTAGATCAAGATCTATCGGTAGATGTTGTTTTTGGAAGTTTATTTTCGTCTTCATGTCAACAATGCAAGATAAAATTGTCGGTAATATGTGTGGAAATGTCCTGTACCATAGTGGTATAGTAATTTTACCGTTTGTAGTCCCATATGTGTAAATTCGTGCTGGTTTGGACTTACACTTTTTTTTTTTTTACTGTTTTGCCGTAAAGGGCGCACCCCAACTTTTTGATATTTTCTTTTCCAAAAATACTGCAGCCTTTACGCCGGCAAATATGGTACTCCGAAACCGGAGTACATAAGAAATTATCAAAACAAGAGATAACATAAAGAATAACCTGGCTCTTTCAATTTTTTGTGTTGTATTATTATTCCAAATGGTCTAACAAATATATGTAGTGAAAAGGAATGCTTAAATATGAATAATGTATGATTTATGGGCAAAAATGTGAATTTTATGACCTTATTTGCATAAATTACCATAAATATGCAAATCAGTGAATTTTTCAAAAAATTGAAATTACTATAGTATTCAATACACTTCACTTGACACGTATGCAAATTTTCGCGGTGATCGGCAGTGAAACGGCCGAGATCTTGGGAGGGGGGGGTCAAATTGACCCCCCCCCCCCAGTAAAAACTCTGTCTGAAATAGCCCAGTTAAAATAGGGTTAAAGTAGCTGTGCAAATATTTAAAAAAAACTAGTTTTATTATTGCACAGGTGAAACTTTGATTTGACAATTTTATCAAAATTCAATCAGTGAAACGGCCAAGATCTTGGGAGGGGGGGGGGGGGGTCAAATTGACCCCCCCCCCAGTAAAAACTCTGTCTGAAATAGCCCAGTTAAAATAGGGTTAAAGTAGCTGTGCAAATATTTTAAAAAACTCGCTTTATTATTGCACAGGTGAAACTTTGATTTGACAATTTTATCAAAATTCAATCCTTGGAAACATTTGAAATAATGATTATTACCAATCACAAAACGCTTAAATGCAGCCCCAGCATAGCACATGAAGAGCTCTCCGAACATTGCTGAGATGTGTGACATCACAGGTTGGGCATGACTTACACAAGCAGACAACATCCCATAGAGAATGAACATAGTTGCAATGCTATTATTTCTCAAATTATAATGAGTTTAGTGTATATAAATGTGATGGCATTTCACATCATTCAAAAAGAGATATGAAACCAATTTTGATAACTAAAATCTTTTTAGTTTGTAAATACACAAGATAGGGGATAATGAACGATCATAGAAATCACACTGTCAAATTGAAATCCCCCCGGAATGATAGCATGGACGGCATTTGTTCCCTCTTGAAACGCCGAACAAACTGCAGCAGAAATACAATGGCGTATTATTTTGTTTACAAGCGACGGATACCTTTATTTTTTCATCAAAACAATACTATCCGTGGGATTTAGAATGAGGCAATAGATTAAACATTTAGCCTGAGGGTAGTGAAGTAAGAGAATGGACTGAAGAGAAGATGACAAAACAGGCGCTAAAAATGTGTGAGATGTCATGGCACATTGTCTGCTTGTGTAAATCATTCCCAACCTGTGATGTCACACATATCAGCAGTGTTCGAAGAGCTCTTCATGTGCTATGCCGGGGCTGTATTTAAGCGTTTTGTAATTGATAATAATCATTAGGTACTTCAAATGTTTTCATTCATTGGATTTTTTAAAAATTTTCATCTATGCAATAATGAAAATAAAGTTAGTTTTTAAAATCATGGCACAGCTACATCAACGACCATCTTTAGAGAAAGACCACAGTTTTTGCTTTCCTTGAAAAGTGTTGTCATTGAAACCTGCAGAAAAGTAACCTATACAGTGTGAGTCAAAAAAAAGTTTACACCCAGAAAATTGCTAATTATTTCAAAAATCATCTATGAACCGTAAAAAGCCGATTTTTGCACTCTCGTAAACAATGCCTCCTGTTCATCCAAGCGTGAACACATACTACACAAAAATGATACCAAATGATTTGGGATAAAACACTCTTTCATAAGATGTATAATAATTTACTGTTCAAGGATGATTTTAAAAATAATCAGCAATTTTCTAGGTGTAAACTTTTTTTTGACTCACACGGTAGTTAGACAATCTGCTTTAATATGAAGGTCACATTTTTTGATTCCCTTGAGCAGGCTTTATATATTAGGTTTCAATGTATATTTAAATTCTTCTGATTCAATTTGCCGGTATAGGTGAAGCTGAGTGGCAAGCCCAATGATAGTGACTGTGACATGGTTTGGGCTGGTAAGGGTATTCTAGCTACTGCATCTGGAGAGTCATTAGTCAGGTAAATACATGTACCATGTATTTTTTTTTTGCTGGGAGAGACTTTGGGGTGATATTGCAGCATATATTCTTTTCCAACAGAATAGTTCGGATAACACTTTAAATTTATGATAATATGCTATTTAAGTTTTGTTAATATATGTACATATATTATGTAAAAAAACATTTTGACATGAAGAAATTATTGTTTGTATATGTTGTATTATACCTTACATTTTTATGTTCTTTGTTATTCAGTTATATTATATTTGGAAAAATGCATAAATAAAAAAAAATTAAAAAAAAAAAAATAAAAAATATATATATATATATATATATATATATATATATATATATATATATTCTTTTATGGTACAAAAAGCTAGGTAACAGATATTTTCATCTTGCTAAAAACTACTTGGTAAATTTCAAAGTACAAATTTTTAATGTATCAGATCCAAGTTTATTATTTAAACTATGTCCAAACAAGCTACTGTCTTCAAGTCATCCTCGAAAAAGAACATTTAAAGAATGTATTACCGGTAAGCTCTTTTCCAATTTTACTTTGCATTACCTATGTGAATTTCACTGCATTCTCTAGATTATGAATTTTGGGGAAACTTTGATAAGACATTTTTTGATGTGCTTTGTTATGTTTTAGTTAATTACATATCAATATAATATTTCTTTTATATGTCTTTTCTCCCATTCACTCATCTCTCATCTATGTCTCTCTTCACATTTGTCTTTCCTTCTTCTCTTCCCCCCCCCCCCCCCACTCCCCATCAGGATGTGGGATCTTGATAAGGATGATAACTATGTTCTTGCTCTGGATAAGAATGTAGGCTTTGAGATGGGTGAAAATATCACTTGTGTTGCATTCTCTTCAAAAAAGGGTAAGATGCCACTTTTTCATAACAAACAATGATTTAGGTGGTGATGATGATGATTGTGATGGGGGTGATATTGATAATTATGAAGATGATCATGATAATGATAGTAATGATGATGGCGATGATGATGGTGATGATCATGATAATGATGATGATGATGATGACGATGATGATAATAGTAATTTCTCGTTCGCACTGAAACTGTTGTTGCTGTCAGGTCCTGTAACTCATTCTTAACAATGGTCAACATTAAAAAAATCATCTCTATGAAAACTATAAAAAAAATCTCATTTAGATAAAGCAAGTAAGAGTTATTAATGTAATCAAATGGTAGATATTGCAACAGATATAGAAATGTAATGTTTAAAGCTCAGATAACATTTATAAGCTACTGGTTTGATACTTGTTTCATGAATCCAGGTATACTGGCAGGAGGTACAGACAGAGGCCGGGTAGCCATGTGGCGCTATTCCCCTGTTCCAGGTGTCTTGGGGCGTAGACAGGAGGGGGAGACCAAGTGGAAGCTGCAGGCCCCCTGTAACCTTGAGGGGCAGCTGGGGCAGATCAAGTGGGGGTCCAGGAGGGATCTTCTGGCTACCAATAGCTTTGCTGGGGTGGTGATCCTCAATGAACACATCATGAGTGCCAGTATGAAGGATCAGGTCTGTAATCCTTTTCAATCCTGTTGAATTTACTCCAGAAGAACATGTATTTAATTGATTAATTTATGCAATTAATTGATCTTTTGTTTTTTCATACTTTTAATTTTTTTGATATTTTTGTCATTTGTTATGTGCCTTTTGTAATTTTTGATGCTAATGCCTTTTGTATACATGTATATCCCTACATGGTCAATACTATCTCTTGTAGTATTTTTTATTTCCATAAGCGCTGTGTATCTGCTCTGTGATAAGACACTTTAAATATGTTTTGTATTATTAAGTATTGTATTTCATTACAAAAATATGTATTGTACTTGGATGGGTACAAATGTACCATTTTGCTGAATGAAATACATGTAGCTGGTCATTTTATGAAACTTTTTTTATTTTATAAGAAGCAAGTGGTTTGGAGTGACATGTAGATAGATTTGATATCATACATGTATTTACCCTTTTTTAGGGAAAATCCTTGGCTACATGTAAGGCTCAAATACATAAATAGATGAAGTCAAATTTACATGCAGTTGTTCACCAACTTGTTATTTGTTAATGTACATCACTCAGGAACATCCATATATTCAAAGGCTACATTACTATAGAGACTATCTACTCGCATTTGCTTCCTGTTACTGGCATTAGAGATATGCATCATGTAGTACATTAGGTCATAAATATTTTGTCTTGTTCTGCTCTGGGGAGATTAGATTTAAATCTTTGGATTTGTTATAATGAGTCAGATTATTCCATGAGTGTTTTATGATTGTCCTCTCTGATTGCAGGTTGCAGTAGTCCAGGCTGGACCCAGTGCTCTCTCAGTGGATGTCTTTCCTAATGGCTCTCATCATGATATCAAGACAGACATACATATCAAGGGCATATGCAACACGAAGGTAAGGCTTTGTGATATCCTGCTAAGTGGGATATTTGCTGGACAGACCATTCTATACTGTTTATAGACTGTGCAACAAATCATTTGGACAGCTTATGTGATCATAAGACATGAGCTATCCTCTACAAATATACCAAAGAATTAAAAACAGTCAAACCTGTCTTTGTAGCCACTTCTCTGTAAATTTATCCCAACCATAGCAGTCATTCATATTGTGTAGCTTGAGGGAGAAATATGTGTTGTATAAACTGTCAAGGAAGGTCATATGTCTAGGATGGACATATTCATTCTATACTGTTTATAGACTGTGCAACAAATCATTTGGACAGCTTATGTGATCATAAGACATGAGCTATCCTCTACAAATATACCAAAGAATTAAAAACAGTCAAACCTGTCTTTGTAGCCACTTCTCTGTAAATTCATCCCAACCATAGCAGTCATTCATATTGTGAAGCTTGAGGGAGAAATATGTGTTGTATAAACTGTCAAGGAAGGTCACATGTCTAGGATGGACATATTCAAAGTTTTTTTTGGTTGGCCTTAGGAGATGGATTTGACTGTATGTGTCGTGATTTATTCTGATAAGAAAGACACAAGTAGAGCTTTGCAATGGCCTGTGTGTTTCATTCAAACAATAGAATTATTAAGATCTCAGAATATTTTATTAGAAATGGAGCAGATATTGTTTGACCTCTTTATTATAACATAATTTTCTTTGCCCCTTCCTCTCTGTTTTGCCATAATAGGACCATGTTGCTGTATGGAACGGCAAGCAGGCAGTAGTCTATGAGGTCAGCCAAACCATCAGGGCAACAGGCAAGATGAATAGATCAGTAAATGACATTCACTTTGTCATTGACAATATCAATGACAATGGGAATGGCAGTGTTACATTGATAGTATATACTGAATGTGTTATTTACCATGAATGTCAGTGGTTGTTAAAGGTGCAATATACTTGTTGGATTCCTTATGGTATTCCAAGTGATTCCATACATAACAATACAATATTTTTCAAACAAATGATGCAGTTTTATTCATTTCTTTATAATTGTGGTGAACAGGGCTCAAATTAATTTTTTGTCCACGGGGGCTCTTCCAAAATAAAAAGCGCCCCCGTGAGCCTTGTCACGGGGGCTCTTTTAGTACTGACGGGGGCTTTTTTTAAATACAAATTTACATTGAATTGGTGGTACCCATGAAACTCCTAAATTATTTGGTATTTCAAGCCAGTTATAACATGCAGCTAATGGTTAGCCCGTATACATTTGCCCCCTTGCCAACAGGTTTCCTTTTACTAACTTTAGCTTTCGGTTGATTTACTGGTCGAGGTTCATTATTTGCTGGTGTTTTGGAATCAGATTTCAGAGGATTCACGATTTTCACAACAAAAAACTTCTCCACGTTTCGGTCCTTGCGCCTGCGATTGCCTCTAGCTCCAGCAGATATGGGGCGGCATGCGTGCACACCAGTATACTACCGGCGCAGCCAGTAATAGCCGCTGCTGACGACCGCAGTGCACTGCAAGCTTCCGTTGTTTGTATCTGTAATGTACGGAGATGGGAGATATAGCGCAATCTTGCGGCCAGAAGGCGTTTATTTCTTTACAATATGGCAGCCTCTAGACACCGAAAAATTCGAGCGAGAAATCCAGCACGCTATTAAAATATAACTTCCATAGTTCCATTTCATTTGTTTAATTAGGTTTGATAGTTGAAACTCAATATTGTGTGAAATTTATAACAGAAAGGATAATCTTGATTTTATATTTGTTATTTATATTCCACGGGGGCGATTTTTATGCCTCCGCCACCGAAGGTGGTGCCGGAGGCATCATGTTTTCGGGTTGTCCGTCCGTTTGACCGTTATCACAATATCTCAAGAACCATTTAAGATTTAAACTTAAGACTCGGGAATAGTATTTATCACCATAGGAAGACGATCTGATTAGATTTTGGAGTACGTAGGTCAAAGGTCACAGGTCACAGAGGTCAACTTATGAAATTCCTTGTATTGAGTTTGTTAGCGCGATATCTCAAGAACCATTTGAGATTTAAACTTCAAACTTAAGGATAGTATGTATCACCATAGGAAGACGATCTGATTAGATTTTGGAGCATGTATGTCAAAGGTCAAGGGTCACAGAGGTCAACTTATGAAATTCCATACATTGAGATTGTTATCATGATATCTCAAGAACCACTGGAGATTTAAACTTCAAACTTAGTGATAGTGTGTATCACTATAGGAAAACAATCTGATTAGATTTTGGAGCACGTATGTCAAAGGTCAAGGGTCACAGAGGTCAACTTATGAAATTCCATACATTGAGATTGTTATCATGATATCTCAAGAACCACTGGAGATTTAAACTTCAAACTTAGTGATAGTGTGTATCACCATAGGAAGACGATCTGATTAGATTTTGGAGCACATAGGTCAAAGGTCAAAGGCCACAGCGCACATTATGAATGCAAAAACAGCTTGTGATCGCGTTATCTCAAGAACCGATTGATGGATTCATGCCAAAATTAGGTCATGTTTGTTACTTGCAGAGCCAATGAACTGAGTAGATTCTTGGTTCATAAGGTCAAAGGTCAAAGGTCATGGGCCCATTATGTATGCAAAAATAGCTTGTGAACGCATTCTCATTAGAACTGACAGATGGATTACTATTTAACTCAGAACATCTTGCAGAGCCAATGAACTGAGTAGATTTTATGGTCATGAGGTCAAAGATCAAAGGGTCATATATGTATATGAGAAATTGCTTGTAATCACAATATTCTGAGAACCTGTCAATGGATTACCATTGAACGTGAATTCAATTTTTTTTTTCTGTTTTGGTTTGTAAAATTGCTCTTTAACGGAGGCATCATTTTCGACTGCGCGCAGTCGAATTCCATCTAGTTAATTTTGCAATCGCCACCTTGAGCACTCTGACGGAGGCGATTGTGTAGCTCACGGGGCGAATTGCCCATCGCCCCCGTGTATTTTGAGCGCTGGTGGTGAATGAAAGACTTAATAAAGTCTACATTCCTTGGAAAATAGATTATGCCAAAAATACTTCTCTAATTTGTTTCCATCCACCCTGTTCCATGGCACCTAAAAGAGGTGAAGCATAGTCCGATTTGTTTAACCGATTCAGTGCAACATGTTATCCTTTTTACTCTTGCTTCTGTAGGTCTTTGTGAGATGAAAAGTAAGTAGTAGTATCCACAGGGTTAACATAACATGCATGTCATCTGCTGAGAGGCAATAGGGTATTAAATCACAAAGATTCGTAATCAGAAAATTTTAAGTACATATATTTGATAGTAATATCCCAAATCCTTTGACCGACAGGGACCTTCTCAACTGACTCCAAGATGGTTCGTATCCATGAGCAAAATGCCTATACCACGGAACCAGGAAAGATACAAGTCAGGACATTCCAGGTATGTAGCTTTCAAAGCTTTCTCAATAGGCGGTGTCACACAGAGGCCAACAATCCAGATTTTAGTTATCCTCTTAATTGCTGTCTGTCATCAATTATCCCATTAAAAACCCTCTAACGAAGCAAGAAAATTCTCCCTTGAAAGGAATTTTCAAGGGATTTTTTATAGGATTTTTCTGTGTGACACCGCCTATTTTGGAAATAATTTCCAGAACTCATCTCAAGATAATTTAATTTTTGAAAATGTTTGACTTTGTTGCGGAGTATAGTTCCAGCTAGTTTAAACTCAGGATGAGATGATTATAAATTCCTTTATTAGAGGATGCCATACAAAAGAAGTAGAGTTTGAAAAATAATTGAAGAAGATTTCATTTATCATCTGTTTTCCCCTTTACATTTGGGGTTAGACGTTGACTTTCTATCAAGGCCCATGACTTCCAGTCCATAGCATTAGCATGAAGAAGGTTTAGCAGTCTCAGTTCCTCTGCCAGAGTCTCACCCCAAGTTGTCCATGATATGTCCTGTAACATCTGGCCAGGTACATGTATATACATAATTCACTGAAATAAATAACCAGTCCTGTTATTACCCTTCATTTCCTTTGTTATACTGGTTGCAGGGCACTGTGAAGCAGCTCATCTCCATGAATGAGAATGAAGGGGAGCCCTGTACCATGGATATGATGGGGAATTACCTAGTTGTTGGAACTTCAGGAGGATTTGTGAAGATGTATGATGTGTCAAGGAGGTAAGCTGTCTCATTCTTCACAGGTTGAAATTTGCCAAACATTAAATTTGTATGAATTAATATTCCTCTAAATGTTTAATGGAAGGAAATGAATGTACTGGAAAGAAATTTACTATACTCTCAATGTCAGAGATCACATATGCAATTTGTAAATGATTTATAGCAGGCCTTCTCAACTGGCGGCGCGCGCACCACCTGTGGCGCTTGCGGTCAGTCGGAGTGGCCCGCTAATGTTGCACCAACAAAACAAAAATCAGAAATAAAGAAAGGATATACATATTTTAGAATTAAATACTCAGCTAAATCAAGAAATTGCAGTCGAATTTGAGCCAAAAATGCCTGCTTAACAAACAGGAAGAAAGGGGAATTTATCGTTTTTTACCATTTTATACGAATCTAAACCTAAGGTCTGAACCACAATTAGCTTACGATGGGATACCAATTTTATCATCTTTAACATCTTGTTTTTATTTGTTATATTTGCACTTTATTTTGACATTTCCTGTGTTTATTGCACACAAAAAACTACATATAAATATACCTGTAATTGTAACCAGGAATTGTACTAATTTTTCACATCAATATGAAATTATGATTGATTATATTGTGGAATGAAATGGTGTTAAAGATGCCCCATTTGGGCCTTAGAAAGCCCTAAATCCACCAGCTTCAGGGGGCTCTGCCCCCTACTACCCCCCGTTAGGGCTTCGCCCCTGGACCCCACCAATTTTAAGGTCGGTCGCTATGCTCCCTCGCAGCACAGTCAACCATACAAGGTGGCACCTCAACTACAAATTCTTTTCGTTTTGGCACTTTTAATAGACTAGTTGAGAATGCCTGATTTAGAGCAAATAGGGTACTGGGAAAAAAATTGATTTCTTGTTTTTGTCATTTTTTATCTATAGAAGAGGTTTTTTCTTCTTTTTCTTATGATCATTCTGTAAGAAAATAATATGTACATTAATATGCTTTCCATTGTTTCCTTTGTTCATTTGGTTTTCGTTTTTGTTTCGTTTTGTTTTGTTTTCTTATAAATCTGTTTTAAAAAACAGAAGATATTCAAGAATTAAAACAGTGAGGAGATAAATTCTACTCTTTCATTCATGGATATCTACAAAGTGAGGTACATATGCATTAACCATGATCTTTCTTTAAGTATGTGGACATATGGTTTGACATCATTGTACTATAATCTTATCTTGTTCACCAGAGAGGCTAAGCCTCACAATGCTCCGAAGAACTTGATGGATGTTATACCAGGCATGGGAAGCATTCTCATGGCTAAGGCTAACTGTAACAGTACAAAGCTGGCCATCATCATCTCCAAGGTATGAATTATTCCAATATATGACATTCTGTACTGTGAGTTTATCTAGAAGAATTCATATTTTTGATCAATGAAATCCTGTTAAGTGATTGGTCAACAGAGCATCATGTGACCCAACATAACATTGCTATGATGTAACCGTGATGTCATCCATGGTATAGTGCAAACTATACCATAGCACTATACCATGGATGACATCATATATATGCGATTGATCAAGATCAATGTACTATCGGTCGCGGTCGTGGTATGTCCATCTGCGCTGCTCTCACCAGCCAGAGCACCTGCAATATACACTACTTCAGTGACAGTTAACATAATTATTATTATTATTATTTTTATGAAGATTGGTTTGAAAAATATAAAACAAATATATCATGCACTATTTCAAGCCACTAGTTCAAATTCTGGATTCCTTGGCGACAGAAATAACACTATTTTTTGGGGGCTACGCCCCTCTGAAAATAGTGCTATTCCTGCTACCTCGATCCATAATTTCAACTAGAGCCTCTCAGTGCATGGTATATTTGTTTACTATCCCCCAAAAGGAATTTCCTACTGCATAACACTCTTTACATCATACCAAGCCTACAGTACTACAGAAAGGACAAACAAAATTACTACGATTCTGCATTGATAGATTGATAAACCTTGGCAGCAGATAATTTACCTTAGTATCTTTTTTCTGAAATAATCTTCACTTGATATTTGAGCACCAAGTATGTTGTGGACCAGTGGATACCAATTTTGTGATGTCTCTACATGTACCTTTAAACTGTGTGCAAGACATTTTTTTTTATAGAGATAACTTTAACTTGATACTTCTTCATTTTAGTGATATATTATTGTGTGCAGTCTTAACTGTAAGGAGCTCTTTACTTGTATCACTCTAGCAAAACTTATCTGCATTTTGTTTACACAGAGTGATGGCACCACTGACCCCAAACTCTATGTGTGGGACCCTGATCTGGACACCTTGGGTTTCTTTGACCTCAAGACAGGTCATGGTGACCAGGAGGATGAGCCTCTTAGCAAGGATGATGACATCACCGATGCAGAAAGGTAACTCGACTTGGGAAACTTTGCAGAATACCCCACCACACAAGTTACCTTTACATTGACCCTAGAGCCTAACACCAACCTGACCTGACCCCCCACTCTCTCCCCCCACCCCCCCCCCCCCCTCTTTCCAGTGAAATATAGAATGGAAAAAGGGATTGTTAGTGAAGGGTAGAACTCTGTCCCACACCCTCCTCATAATAATCAATAGCCTTGTTAATTTGCATTTCATCCACCTAGTAAGACTGGTGCCCCTATAATGATACCGGTGTGTCTGCAATTTCATGACCCATGATACCCCTAGTTTCTAGATATATATTCACACTTTTCTTATGATCAATCTCCTTAGGGGTCGTGAGGAAGCCGCCCAGGACGTAGCAGGCCGTTACCCCACCAATATCTTCTGGGATGCCCACGAACCCAAGCTCTTGGTATGCGAGGCTAAGCTGTCCCAAAATGAGGAGACCAGTACTACCCCTAGGAAGGCAGCTTCCCTTCTTAGCACCATAGTCAATACACAGGTAGGAGAGCTGCAAAGCTACATGCCGTCAAACCTGTCATAACAGCCTCTTTTAGCAAAGTGACTCGGTGACATTGTTGAAGGCTGATGAAAAAACTGTGCAAATTTTTTATGAAATGTTACTTATTATATTCCTTCTACTGTACCTACTCTCTAACAGGCAAAAAATCCTGAGAAAATTCTCAAACCACAAAGATATTTATGGTTTTCTTTGAAGGCGTCACTATGCAACACCCTCTAACAGTGATTAACAGTAAATTCTCCCAACTATTTTTTAATTTTCCCAACCGTTTTTTCTTGAAATCAGATAGAAGACGGGCTTTAAAAAAACTGTCAACACTTAAATGTCTGGAATGGTATATAGAGCCAATTTATTGCTTTGTGACGATTTACATTTACCTAAATTGTAATAGTATAGTTGGGAGAATTAAGGAATTGATCAGATCAGTGTTTCCCAATTTTTATCATCAATAATGGTCCATTTTCACTCAAACTTTCAGATTATCTTTGATTGTACATCTAGCATTGAAGTCACTACCTTAGCACTATTTTCTCTCATCTGAACAATGTTACCAAGTCCCTTTAAAATGCCACCTGTATAATGAATGTGAGGAAAGGCCTCACATATTATTATACATGATATTCTATATTTTGAGATGGGCTCTAGAATGTAGCTAATAGCTAACCTTTATTCAAGTCACATGTTCATACTTTAATTTTTCCATTGCACCAAGCTATGCAAATTTTGTAAAACAGTATGCAAGTTGCGCAGCGCTCTTGATCCACACATCTTAATGTGTTCAAAGTTTGGGTTCAGACGTCTTGTGATGCACATAGTTTGGTGATGATGTGCACACTGAGACGCATTGTGATAATACTAATATTTGGCTGTGCGCACTGCACGATGTGAGGCCATCCCAAAAAGCAAATGGCAGTCTCCATGATTGTGCGACTCTTTGCTTTTTGATCGGGTTTGTAGTACATTTTTTGACATTATATTCATATTGTAGACCTGTCTTATGAATAGAATAATACATAATTATAGTTTGTACATTAGAGATATGCACTGCAGTTGGTTAAAGCTTTTAAATCTTGAGCTCTGGTATGGGCATCGTATGTCGAGAGAACATGGCTATAATTCATTCTGGATTGTTTATCCTGCAGCAGATTGATTTAATTGTTTGAACCAGTAAAATAAAAACAACCTGGAATTGGCAGGATATGAGTGAAAAGCATGTTTACGTACATGCATTGCACGTTTTGCAACTTGTTTTTTTTTTCAAACTATGGAAGCACAAAACCCCTAGACCCCCAGCCGTTGTGCGCTACCCTTGCTATGCTTGCTTCGCTATAAAGTTGAGGAAAGGTGTATGATTCTCAGTGGCATCTCTGGCTGTAGCCATTCACCATATATTTTGTATAGACCATGCTATCACAGATTTCTATTTTCTTTGTGTAATTTTGAAACCACATATCATTGTCTATGATGACGGAAATGTATTTACAGAATGAAGATACAAAACCCAGTCAATCAAAACAAATCCATTCCAATATTATTCATGTATACAATGACCAGATTTGACTTCTTGAGCAGAAAGTGGGTTGCAGTTGAATTTGTTTTGATATTGAGGTTATGAATACCGGTAGTTACATGAAAAATAAGATACATATCAAAATGTACCAACCACCCAAAAAACTTCTATAAACTTCTTACTTCTATAAAGATACATTGAAATTATAATTACACTATCAATTAACATGGAAGAGATTTGTAAGTTTAGGTGATTGGTAGTTATTACGCTTTAAAATGTTATGTATGTTAGTCTTTAGTTGGAAAAAGGCATGACACCTCTACATAAGAGTGATGGTCGTTCAGTTACACTATACTATCAATTAAAATTGAGTTGATCTTGTTGTTTGTCCATAGCCTGAGATGATGGTGGTATCTCTCTTCACAACCTTGGAGCATGGTGTGGTTCTCCAGGATAGCTTTGGGCACATCCAAGGTACCTTACTGGGTGTAGAAGTACCCTACTTCTACTTCATCAAGAAGGTAAGCTTTCTCTTCACCTCTAGTCGGTATGTCTTCTAAAGCTTTAGGTTCCTCAAACGTAGATTTAAAAAAATAATAATAATAATGGCAGAAAGGAAGATGGTCGGACATGATGTGTAGGGAATGGGATTTTGGTTTTGGTAGAACCAAGATGTTTTGCATATATTTCTACTTCTACTTTATGAAGTCGATGAGGGTCCTCTCTCCAGGGGGGGATTTCTTTTAGAGTTCTTCTCAAGTGGAAAAGACAATAACAAGGACAATAACAAGGACAGTAGCAAGGTAGGATATACAATACATTTGGACTGGCAAAATGCCATCAACAGTGACATTGACAAGGTCAAGGACAAGAACAGTGAGAATGACAGTGAGTAGGGCAAAGGCCATACCAATGACATTGACAAGGCCAAGGACAAGAACAGTGAGAATGACAGTGAGTAGGGCAAAGGCCATACCAATGACATTGACAAGGCCAAGGACAAGAACAGTGAGAATGACAGTGAGTAGGGCAAAGGCCATACCAATGACATTGACAAGGCCAAGGACAAGAACAGTGAGAATGACAGTGAGTAGGGCAAAGACCATACCAATGACATTGACAAGGCCAAGGACAAGAACAGTGAGAATGACAGTGAGTAGGTCAAATACCATACCAATGACATTGACAAGGCCAAGGACAAGAACAGTGAGAATGACAGTGAGTAGGGCAAAGGCCATACCAATGACATTAACAAGGCCAAGGACAAGAACAGTGAGAATGACAGTGAGTAGGGCAAAGACCATACCAATGACATTGACAAGGCCAAGGACAAGAACAGTGAGAATGACAGTGAGTAGGGCAAATACCATACCAATGACATTGACAAGGCCAAGGACAAGAACAGTGATAATGACAGTGAGTAGGGCAAAGACCATACCAATGACAAGGTACCAGGACAATACCAATGACAAGGGCCAGGACAATACCAATGACAAGGGCAAGGACAATACCAATGACAAGGGCCAGGACAATACCAATGACAAGGGCAAGGACAATACCAATGACAAGGGCAAGGACAATACCAATGACAAGGTACCAGGACAATACCAATGACAAGGGACAGGACAATACCAATGACAAGGGCAAGGACAATACCAATGACAAGGGCCAGGACAATACCAATGACAAGGGCAAGGACAATACCAATGACAATGGCAAGGACAATACCAATGACAAGGGCAAGGACAATATCAATGACAAGGGCAAGGACAATACCAAAGACAAGGGCAAGGACAATATCAATGACAAGGGCAAGGACAATACCAATGACAAGGGCAAGGACAATACCAATGACAAGGGCCAGGACAATACCAATGACAAGGGTAAGGACAATACCAATGACAAGGGCAAGGACAATACCAATGACAAGGGCAAGGACAATACCAATGACAAGGGCAAGGACAATACCAATGACAAGGGCAAGGACAATATCAATGACAAGGGCAAGGACAATACCAATGACAAGGGCAAGGACAATATCAATGACAAGGGCAAGGACAATACCAATTATGCCAGTGACAATGATTAACATAGGCAATGAGTTATATTGACAGTGCCTATTACAGCAATCCAAGATCACAAATGTATTCACTACCATAATATTATAGGCCAGTATGTCATTGTTTATGTTTCAGGGCAAACCTGTAGTATATGATATTTGATAAAGATTTGCCACCTACAACACTGAAATAGTCCATACCTAACATCCTATTTGTAGCGAGACTTAACCTTGAAATCACATACTTTTTTAAAAGTTCACTTTGGATTTGGATCCCACCATTATTGTACTGTACTTGGATATGCTTTGGATTCGACCTTTGTTTTATTCTGCCATTGTGTTGGATTTGGATTTGACCTTTATTTGACTTTGTATTTGATTCATGCCTATTGAAGGCTGGGGAAGGGAAAGCAAAGAAAGGAGTATTAGTAAGTAGTTCACTTTCTTGTGTGTGTTTTATCCATAACCCCCACATGTCATATTTTGTTCCACAGAATTAGATGTCTAAAATGTTCAAACAGTGTTGTACTGTACCAGTTCATGCACAATGTAGATAAAATCATGCTCAACAATATCTTGTCAAAGGGAATATAATTCATTGAATTTTAATACCCTAAACCTTTTATATGCACTCAACATTTTTCCTCAAACTTTCTTGCATTTTGCAATTTTATTCTTTCCTACCTACATTTTTATCATACCTACAATTATCTTATGTTCAGTGCAAAGTCTCATTGCTATTACTTTACAATAACATTTGACACGTTTCTTGACATTAAACTGCCTGTAATTTTTTAACTTTTTAATCACATGTGAATAACTGTACTAAATAATAATCTCTCTTTATTTCTAATACCTTACTTTACTGGTTTCTTTCTCATTTTTCTGTTCCCCAGATCCCAATTAAAGTTAAATAATTGTTGCTCTTTTTCAAACAAAGGAATTTGATAATGTGTATGTTTTCAAATTGATTTATCCTAATAGCACTGATCAATTTGCTGCAACTTTATAAAAAAAAAATACTGTGCTTATGTATTAGTTGCCATGCTTAGCACTGCTTTCGAGAAAGTATACCGGTAGTAAGCAAAAAATTCCCGTTGGTGAAGGTGATGGGACAAACTATCACTTCCGAGGCGATCAGGATGTAGCTATCTTTCCAAAGCAAAGCTGAAGAAAGATAGCGTATACATTCTGATCGCCGAGGAAGTGATAGTTTGCCATCGCCTGAAACCAAAAGGTGATTATTTGCTTTATATTCTACATCAGAAACATTTCAATCCTTCCATCATTTTAGAGCAACAAATCATCAATTAACAGCTAGCAAACGGTGTACGATACGTACAATGTATGCAGTACTTTACGTACGTATGCGCAACGTATAGAAGGAAATGTGTTGGTTGCACTGTGTAGAGAGTACTTTTATCTTCAGTAAAAGTGTGTTGTACTGTGTAGATAGTACTACTATCTACACAGTGCAGCGAACTTTTCTTCCCCCATCAATGATGGGTGAACTATCTTTCATCACGTGATTTACTTTTGACCAATCGTAGCGCAAGATTCTTTGTATGTGGAATATTATACAGTTATTTACTGGCAGGGGGTGTAATATAACATTATTTGGACTGCTGAAGGGAGTTATATTTCCCAAGTGGTTATATTTTCCCAAAGCGCGCAACGCTTAGGGAAAATATGGTCACGAGGGAAAATATAACTCCTTTTAGGTCCAAAGAATTTATATACCCCCTGCCAGTCAATAACTGTTATATTAGACAGCCTTGGGTTTTTTTTTGGGGGGGGTCCATCTTTTTTTTTTGCCCGAAATTGTTTTCATTTTTTTTTTTTCGGTGACAATGAAAATTTTAGAAAAAGAAGTGCAAAAAAAAAAAATTTGGCTGAAAAATAATATTTCGAGATAATTCAAGAAATAAAAAAAATGCTTATTAAAAAATACATTTGAAAAATAATTTCAAGGGAGAAGAAGAAAAAAATTCTTGCCGAAAAAGGCATTTATTGGGGGAAGAAAAAAATGTGGACAAAATAATTTCAAGGGATAAAAGAAAAATATTGAAAACAAAAAATGACCCTTGGTAATTGTGTAATGGGGGTGTAATTGTTGACATACAGTCCTCAAGAGGGTGACATGCATTGATTAAAAATATATTCATTTCACCAGCTGGTAAAATATAACCGGCTAGGAAAATATAACAATTTGGATCCTCGCAATTGATATCATGTGACGAGCTCTCCACCAATCACATCTCGGTATCTATCTAAGCTATCTAATGTAAAATAATATATCTCCCCCTTTAGTTAGATGTCAGTTGTATATTACTTGACATTTCAGGAACAAGCCAGATGGCAATTGCCCAATTTTTTTCTGTCTCTGTGTAATTCCGAATCAGGCACCAAAATGTTAAACATTGAGATATTTCAGCATATTTCTCTGATAACCATGCAATAACTATCAGTCTTTTGATGGATATCTTGTCAACATGACATGTGATTGTAGTTGCATTATTAAAGCTACAATAAAAATTAAAAAAACATACTAAATGATACTTAAAGCCTTCCAATATGATTTTTAAAATCTTCTAAATAGATTTATGCACACTTCCAACTCTTTCATTCTTCATTCTAAATGTTAGATAGAATTACCTTAACAAGTTTTTGTTTACTTGATATGTGGAGATTTCATTTTGTGGTCATTTTGCTAACATAATTTTGATATGTTCCTGGGCTTTTACTCTGGACTGCTTTAAATCTTCCTATATAGATATATCTGTAAAGCGCTTTGAGAGGGCATTCGGTCCTGAAAAGCACTTTATAAGAACTAGCTATTATTATTATTATTATTATTTAAAGAGAAAAATATCATGCTTTTTGTTCAGAAAATGATAGCTGATAGCTCTATCATTTCCGTCCTCAATCATTACCGGTGCCATCAAGATAGATCCCAACATGCACCTCTGAGCAAATAATGCCTGTCAACACAAAAGAAGGCTTTTAAAATCTTTTGATTTGCTCTACAAATAATGTGAGTGCTATAATATTGATATATCTGTAGATTGGTATGGCAGAAATTGATGTTGTTTTTCCAAGCTCGAGACATTGTTGTCACTTCAAAAGTCTTTGGGTAGAAATTGATGTACTACATGTGTCAAGTGACAAAAAGCTTTTGTTGTTCCCTAGCTACATTCCCCATGTGTAAGTGTAGAAATTGATATTTGTATTAAAAGTCACTAGTTATGAGGTATTGTACATTGAACATGTACCTACACATGTAATATAGATTTTTGGCAAGTCTGTGGCCCAGCAATTCACTACTGGTATATACAACTATACATGTACTTCCCATCTTGTGTACATAGTCATTCCTATAATAATAAAAATAAAGTGTGTACAGTAAAGCTTATTGATTTCATGGTGTTGCTACAGTTGTATTCCCCATTGCTGTCTATTGGGAATAAGTCCATGTACATTTATGAAGTAAGTTGTTTTTTTATAGAATTTGTGTCATAATTGTGTTTTTCTAAATACATGTCACAATGTGCTCCAAATGTCTTAGGTTCCATGTACATATATGAGCATACAGTATTACATGTACTTCTTAAAAGAGAAAGTGCACACTGTTAAATACTCCCTCTGAATGGAGGTAAAACTAAAAGTGACTTAGGAGTTGACTAATCGATGCATCCGCCACTCCTACACGGAGCCCACGTTCGCCTCTGTGCACAGGTTTTTATTTCATCAATTATATAGTTCATACCCTTTAACTCTTCAACCATATAGAGTAGAGCTATAAAGCTTCTGCTTTATTTTGAGTTTACATTGGCAAAATGGCTGCAGTGGAATTATCCAGCAATACCTTGAGATTTGATAATCTACTCCCATCTTTTTTCCAGCCTGGTGAAATCCTGAACAGTACTGGCTTAGTTCACTTAAATTTCTACTAAACACAGCATAGAGTTTCCTACATGTTTTGAAAGGGGCTGTACTTACTTGTTATTATCGACTCTGTCTTCATTGTAGCCTGGGGAGAAGATGGATGACCCGGGACCAATCTCCTCATCTTCGCTGGTTGCTAGGCAGGTGATGAGGAACTTTGCTGGCCTGGAGGATGCAGATAAGAGCGCCAGGGATGCAATGATGAACTTTAGCTACTACCTGACCATTGGGAATATGGATGAAGCCTTCAAAGCCATCAAACTCATCAAGAGGTGATATTACAGATACCCTTCCATTAGTGGTTTGACACAAAATGTCTACATCAACGATGGTGTAAGAAACAAATTTGTCTTTAATCTCGGCTACAACTCAATAGTTGGTTACAATGGAGGAAGCCTCTAATAAAATGTGCTTATGTATATACCGGTATATATATTTATATACATATAGATATACCCACTTCACTTAACTTTAAGGGTACTGTTATACATTTATGATCAAAAATATAAACTAAGTAGAGAATTTTATTGATTGATTGTTGGTTCAAATGATGTATGTAACCAAGCAGACTTTCACTTATGTCTTCATCTCCTATATGCCTTGCCAACTGAAACACTCCCTCTTTTTCAAACCAGTTACAAAAAAAACAACTTATAAACATAGGTAAAAATCTATAAGGCAGTAATTCCAGTGGTTTTGATGATTTTACTCCAAACTCCTTTACCTTATATTATCAAAATGTTTTTTTGCATATTTGCAATCTGTTAAAGCACTAGCTGCCATGTACCCAGTAAATTAAAAATATCTGAATTAATTCCAGTATATAAAAAAGGTGATCCACATGATTTTACGAGCTATCGGCCAATATTGATCCTGCCCTGTTTCTCAAAGATAGATTATATAATTTCGTAGAACAAATTAATATCTTATATTAGGGTCACTTCAGATTTAGAACCAACTGGGAGAAAACCTCTTCCTCAGCTTTTGCCATGCTGAGTCTTGTCTGTAGCTCAAGCTTACTCCTTCTCTGCTTCAGCTTAAACTCCTCCAGTTCAAGAGCTTGTTGTTGATGGAGAGCTGCTGCCTGGGCTGCCAAGGCCGCTCTCTTCACCATTGCTTTGACTCTAGCTCTGGAGGTACTGCTTGTGCTGCTCTTGCCAGTCTGGCTTGCTGAATCCCCGGGTTTGACGGACTCTTGATGGGACATATCGCTCATGTTGACTTAAAGCACTGTTGTTGAACTTAATGTAGCGTATAACCAACCAATCGGACTGACTGCACTTCAATAAATAGCGACAATTTCAAGCATGATGCGATACCGTTCACAAAAGGCGGTTCAACCTGAAATTTAATCAGAATTAAACAATCATACATAATATGTCAATTTTAAACTGTTTACAAACAATCTTGCATCAAATTAGTTGTATGATTAATGCATGTTTACTGAAATTACATATTATACTGTTCCAAAATGAAATATCAATGCCCTAAAGATTATGTTCCATTTCCTTAGCATCATAATAAATGAATAATACATTTATGATACCCTAATATGGCTGCTTGAGTTTCCTTAGTTCACTGTTGTATTTGTGTGCATGATAAAACAATAACCCTTTTGGCTCTACACATATTACCCTAAATTCCTCTTTATATACATGTCTACAGTTACCAGAATTTATCTTCATTCTGTCACTTTATACAACTGCCTCTTATATATAAATGATATTAAAATAACACAACCCGGTCTGTACAACAGACTATCCCCATAGCGCTCACACATGCACCGTATTATGTAACTGCACGTGTAATGCATCATAAAAGTTACTGTGCGTACGAATCACTTTCATAACAAATTTTATACATCAATTATCTGAAAACTATGAACTGTATAAAACCAACACCCAACTCAAACTGACGGCTAGTTATCAATTATCAACATCATATGTTCAAATTATACTCACAACATTGGGCTTGTCTGGAAATACTAAATATTGATCGCAATCAGAAGGATGACTTTTCCCAAAATTGAGAATCATTTGCAGCTAAATTGTTACGCCCCCACTCGGCAGACCAAAAATTCAACCAAAAAAATATCGCTTCTGACGTCATACTCCGATCGTCAACTGAAACAAAAAATGTCCTCACAAAACAGAGATTAGTATCTTACACAACTATTCATCAAAAACAGCATTAATATGAATTCAGGACAGAACGATTAATTACTTATGATAATAAACATGCAGTCAGAGATTTTGTGGACCTTTCCTAAGCATTTGATTCTCTTTATCTTTCTATTCTATTGAACAAGTAGCAGTATTACTATCTCAAAAATGGTATCTGTTTTAATAGTGCTTGTTCAGACAAAATATATAATTTTTGTATTGATTCATATCACAGTGAATCTGTATGGGAGAACATGGCAAAGATGTGCGTGAAGACCAGACGGCTGGACGTGGCCCGAGTGTGTCTTGGTAACATGGGCCATGCCAGGGGTGCCCGAGCCCTCAGAGAGGCAGAGAATGAACCTGAGCTAGATGCCAGGGTGGCCATGCTTGCAGTTCAGCTTGGTCTACTTGTGAGTAATGTTTTGGCTTCATTGAGAGAGAGAGAGAGAGAGAGAGAGAGAGAGTTGATCATAAGCAATGGTTTATTATTTGATTTCATGTATTATGTTCACTCTCTCTTGATGTAAAGTAAATATATAAGATGTGATGTACCTTTTGACATGTGATTTACTTGATGTGAAATCACTCCTAAGTACATGTAAACCAATGAGCAATATATGTGAGATAACCATGACAAATAAATACTCTCCTATTTGCATAGACAAAAAGTCTGTAGAAACATGAGCGCTATACAAGAACCCACTATTATTATTATTATTATATCTGTTACTAGTGAGGATCAAAATAAACATCTTACAATTCAAGTTATGGGACTAAATTTTATTTTCCTATGTTTAATTATTTTTCAGGAGGATGCTGAGAGACTGTATAAGAACTGTGGACGCTACGACCTTCTTAATGCATTCTATCAGGCTAGTGGACAGTGGGGAAAGGTAGGACACAGTAACAGTTTAGAATTATGTTTGAGAAGAAAGATATTTTTCAAGTTTAAACCAAAGAATTGCAATATATGATGTGAAATCACTCCTACCAGTGGCTCTATTTTCACCCTAAAGTTTTCCACACACAGTACAGTTTTTTTTTAAATGATTAATCTAATCTTTACATAAATTTACTATTACCCTGAATGATTAAAGGAAAATACAAACCATAATAGTAAATATACTCTCATAGAAACCAGACAAATCAGAGAAGCAGACTTATGAAAGTTTGAATATAATTGGACATAAAATAAAAAAGTTATGAATTTTTGAAAATTGTAATCACTATGCGTATAGGAATTTCAAAGTGGCTGATCAGGTAATATCATTGTAATGCAATGAATGCCACACATCTTTCCCATTTGTTCTATCTTACTGAATGACTAAAATGTAATTTTTTTTCAAAATGTATGAATCAGGTGGGCCTTTTCTTTTTAGAGGACCTATAAGAATATGCTATCCATGATATACTTTGAGTAACGCCCCAAGCTCTTAGGGTAAAATAAAAATAAGGATATCTTTGTACACGACAAACTGGAAAGTTATCCATGCAAATGTCTTTTCACTAATCAAATTGTCATATTGATTGATTAGGCCATGGAGACAGCTGAGCTGAATGATCGCATCCATTTGAGGACCACTTACTACCACTATGCCAAGCATCTTGAAGCAAAGGGAGACATCAATGGAGCTATTCCAAAGTACGTCTGAAATTTTTTAAATGAAGTTGTAAATATGTAGAATTTTTTCTAAACATTTTTTGGGGTGCCTAATGATTGACAAATATAAAATGTTATTGGCATTCATTCTGTACTGTATTGAGATCCTTTGGTTCATATTTTTGTTTTATTAAGTTTGAAGTACTTTTAGTACATTAAAATATGACCTAATCAAATGTAATAAAGTTCTTTCAAACATGCTGTTACTATTTCCTATTCCTCAGCTATGAGAAGTCTGATACCCATCGCTTTGAGGTTCCCAGAATGCTGTTTGATGAGCCACAGGCCTTAGAGGCGTACATTATGAAGACAAAAGACAGGTATGTAGCTCAAATCTGGTATATTCCGGATGCCAACTCCTACACAATTACCCATCTAAAATGCCTGGGCTCTGGTGAAGAGCCATGTTAGCTATCTCGTTATTATGTTATTTACTATGTTGAAGATGAAGTTGAGTTCTGGTCATGCGATTGCATTGTGAAAGAAACGGTGTGGAATCGACCAGAAAGGTTGATCATCTAGCATATAAGAATTTGTATGTATTGCAAGGTTCTGGAATCATCAAAATGATAAGAAATTTGACCAAGTCTTGGTAAAGTTACAAACACTGTACACGGAAAGATGTATATATGACTACATGAACATGTGGCGTAAAAATCCGTCCTTGGATTTTAACGATGTTACATGACATATTTAGAATATGAAGGCATTTGAAGAGCCATGCTTTTCAGGGAACATGTCTTATCTGATTTTCTTCCACACTTGCATAATAAGAATGGTAACGCTCACAAATTATTGTTCACCTCTTCCCAGAACTCAACCTTCTCTTTAAGTTAGTCATTTTAGTAGTTATAAGATGTGTAAATTTTCTCTGTGTTGATTCCTTTTATGTGATTATATTTCTCGTCATTATCCTTGTACAGCGCATAGAGAAACTTATGTTTATTATGCGCTTTATAGATGTTGTATTATTATTATTATTACTTTCGATTGGTACAGTAGTTTTTGTAATTTTGGACCGAGAGTTCAAGAACGGAATGCACACTTGCCTGTTTTCATTTTTTTTTCAGGAGGGGAATAACAGCCCATACACAATCATCAATTTGAATATGAAGAATTGCTCCGGGCTTTCTTTTGTCAAAGATATATCATTCAAGTATGAGTTGCAATAGGGTTTAATGTTGGGTTTAGGGTTAGGGGAGGTATGATGTAATGTCTTGGGTTGAAGATAGGAAGACAGTTAGTGTAGGATATTTTGTACAGCAACTGTCTCTGAATCATGTGTCATGGAGCCCCTCAACATTGCTATTGGTATTCATTGTGTAACGTTTGCATCCATACAGAGCCCTGAGGAAGTGGTGGGCACAGTACATGGAGAGTACTGGAGAGATGGAGACAGCCTTGCAGTTCTATGAGGCAGCCCAGGACTACCTGTCCCTAGTCAGGGTCTACTGCTACTGTGGTAATCTAGATAAGGTATAGAATGTTTGGATACATTGAGGGCTGACTAGGATGTATTTGTAGGAAATAAAGTCAATGGCCTAATGAAAGAGGGTGAAGAAGCTCTTAAAGAAATATGTCTTGTTGATTGATCATGGTATGTTAACCAGCTGTGACTCAAGAATTAAAAGAGTTGCAGCAAGTTACAAGGGAAAGTAAGTTTTTATATACCTTGAGGGGTACATGCATGTTCAGGGATTTGTTTGAATTAATTTTTGTATAAATTGAGAAAAGGAGAAAGGTCATATGGACATGCCCTATCATAGAGCGCAGAGGAGGAGTAAAGGAAGTGTGATATTTTGTTGGCCTTGCACTGTTATAGAGCAGCCAATTGTTCAAGAGATTTCAGGCTTGAAACCAAGACATAATGCTTGTACTTGTGGTAGATTCATTAGTCCTCAATTAAGTAGTCCTTTGGATCAGATGTTAACTTATTCATTTTTGTCTTTTCCTTGTTGATATCTTTGCAGGCTGCCGAGATTGCAAATGAAACAGGTGATAGAGCAGCATGTTACCATCTAGCAAGACAGCATGAAAATCAGGTGAATATTATTCATGATTTTCATGATAAACAAATCCTCACTTGTGCACCATAAGGTCAAAAATACATTCTTCAAGGAGATATTGCACAATTGTATGAATCAACATCGACACGGTTTATATTTTGGAAGCCCATAACAAATTAAGACTGGGAAATGTGATTTCTTAAAGATACAGGCCTACAAGAATAACGATCATACTATTACCCTCATTATTGTTTCAAGAACTTCTAAAATTTATCAGGGCCTGTTGCATAAAACTTATCATTAATGTTAACTTTGCCATCGATATTAACTACCATGGCAAAAACACTCAACAGCCAATCACATCAAGTTTTCCATGGAAGTTTAAGCATTTAAGGCAAAGTTACCATCAATGGTAAGTTTTATGCAATTGGACGGGCCAGCTGAATGTTTTCGGGTATGATGGTAACCCTCTGTGTTTGACCTCTCTTCCTTTTATGAATATTGTGTTTGAAATGTAATATTCCTTGCTTCATTTACAGGATAACATCAAAGAATCCATCCATTTCTTCACCAGAGCCCAGGCATACAGCCAAGCTATCAGGTTATGTAAGGTGGGAATTATCAGTGTCATATTGCATTTGTCAACATTTTAGAAGCAATATCAAGGTTGTAACTCCATAGATACATTTACATGTACTATGGTGTCATTCTGAAACCATTTTTTTAATGATTTTGTGTATGTCCATGGTCTACAAATGCTCAAAAAAACTTCAATTACATGCGTCTGAACATTATACAGATATTGACGGGCAGGGGGTGTTACAGGGATGCCAACCGTTAAGGTTTCGACGTATTTATTCCAGTTTTATTGCTCTTGTTACGGCGTTACGGTAAACAACCAAAAGGTTACGGGAACTGATAAAGAAGTACATTTTAGCATTAGTAGGTCCATGATTATTGCGTATGCCGGCTATATACACATAGCCTCCGTACACGGCGCTGCATGTCACGCACACATTTACTCAAAAGTTCACTGACTTTGACTACACTGGATGGGCACTTTCGCCCTCTACACACTTATTGTGCACATGATCCGTCCGCCGCCATCTTCTTTAATTCCGAAACATCGCAGCCGCCGTCATTATTGTTCTGATACTGATACTGATGGTGGATGATCGTGTGCGCAGTGATTCAACAGGCGCATTTCAAGTGCGGTACGGTGCGTGATGTTCATGAACACCGGGCCTAGCGGCCTGGGCTGGTACTGGTGGGACGGTGTGCGTGTGGTGTGCATTAGTGTGTAGGATACGAGTTCTGCCATTTTGACTGTGGATTTGACCAAGGTTTTTTCTTCCTGAATATTATCATGGATTCACTGAAAAGAGCGAGTATCTATGACTACAAACAGATTTTTACAAACATTTTGATGCACATCTTTATTTTGAACTATAAAATGGTAGGTTCGAAATGCAGTAAGAGTGATTGGGTGTTTGTATACGTTTTACACGAAAAATATGCTGCGTTGTCTTGCGTTCCGGAAAGATCCCCATTTGTTACGGACCAAAATTTAAATTTTTTTTTTTTTTTTTTCAGAGACAAAATTTTAGAAAAAAATTGTGTGAAAAAAAATTCTTTCGAGATAATTCAACAAAAAATCATCTCTTTTTTGAAAAAAATTATTTAAAAAAACTTTTTGGGGGAAAACAAATTTGGAAAAAAAAAAGACGAGGGGGAAAAAAATTGACCCTCGGTATTGGTGTAATTTGTGTAATTGGTCTCATACAGTCCTCAAGAGGGCGACATTGCATTGCTCAAAAATACATTCATTTCACCAGCTGGTTAATATAACACTGGAAAGTGACCGGCCAGGAAAATATAACAATTAAGACCCTCGCAATTGATATCATGTGACAAGCTCTGGACCAATCACATCTCGGTATCTGTCTGAGCTATCTAATATAAATATATACAGTATGTTATGTTAGAAAATATAAAGTAGAAGCAAAAGAGGCAGACAGAAAAAAGAGTAGGAGGGGGGATGGAGAGAGAAAATAAGAGTCGTACATTAAAATCTATCAATGATCATTTGTTTTATTACAGGAACATGATATGGAAGACCAACTGATGAACCTAGCTTTGATGAGCAGCAAGGAAGACATGATAGAAGCAGCCCGATACTATGAACAGAACCCCAACACTCATGATAAAGCTGTCATGCTGTTCCACAAGGTAAGACCTCATAGTGTACACTTCATTGGCAATATTGAGTTTAAGAATGCTAACATGATATGAAGCTGAAGAGCTGCATAGTCAGGAAATGCCATATAAAATGACTGTGTCCAGATCACCTGGAAATCTTGATATTGCAAAATTTCTAGATTTTGAGCTAGAGCAAGTATAGTTTAGAAAAAGAAGAACAAAAAAAAGTTGGTGAAATGTACCAAGGGAAAAAACAACAACTATGAAACCATGAATCCCACATCTACTTGTACGTTCCCTGACTACCTTTGTAAATGTAATGACAAAATCAACCATCCTTTTTGAGATACATCCAGCTGTCTTCTACGACCAAGTTTGTTCTGACTACATTATAACAAAGTTTAAACAAAATTTGAAAGTGAGATCTTCTCCAAATGAACTTTGTGGGTGACACATTGTTGATTTTAAGACAGAATGCCCAATTATTACTTTGTACTGCCTCATAGACTTACATGTATGAGCTAAGACTTTTCAACATCCTTTTCCTCTCTTGCATCCAGGGTGGACATTTCTCTAAGGCTCTTGAGCTTGCCTTTGAGAGCCAGCAATTCGGCGCCCTACAGCTCATCTCTGAGGACCTGGATGAAAGAACAGACCCTGTGCTACTCAACCGATGTGCCCAGTTCTTCATGGAGCACGGCCAGTATAACAAAGCTGTTGATCTACTGGTTGTCGCTGGAAAGGTAAATCAACTGGAAAACATACATTTCCATTCACCGCAGTCAAAACCTGTGTATAGATATTATTTAGAAAAAACTTGATCTATATTGATTTTTTGTTTGTTAAATGTTGATATGATTTTTGGCTTGTAGATACAAATTACACTTTGATTGGTTATTATGTGTGGTTTAAATTCTTCCCATGGTTTTATTTTGTATATCAATGTTAGACCATATGTAGAGGTGTTGTGGTCTAGTGGATACGTCATCGTAGTGTGGATCACATGGTCTGTGGTTCGAGTCCGGCCATTGCACTAATATCCTTTAATCTATATTTGCCACACTCGACCAAGGTGATGTACCTGGCAAGAATAAATTCCTTGAAATGCCAGAGTGCCATAATGGCAGCCATGCTAAAACTGGGATAATAATTGTAGGGTGCCAGGAGTGTCAAGTCAGACAGACATGAACGCTATACAAGAGCCTCTGTTATTATGTAATTGACCAATAATATATTCTATGTCATGGACTCTTCTACCCGAATAGTAACCGACAAACTGATTCATGCATCTGTTAACCCTATCTAGCCTCTACATTTTTCGCGATAATTTTTTAACGCCGAAGAATCATGCGATGAAATTTTATGACTTTTTTCTTTCGAGTCTTGCGCATCTTTTGAAATAATTTTTCGAAAGTTGGTCCCACCGTTACAAAGTCATGTGACATTTTGTCTTTGCATGTCAGCTCAAAAATTGCCAATTTTTCGTGATTTGTGTAGGTGCAAATTTTTGTGGCGGTCGGCCGTTCAACAGCCTAGATCATGGGGGGGGGGGGGGGCTTAGAAGCCCCCTCCCTCCCCCCGGGTTATGCAGTTTCAAAATAGCTCGGGCTATATAGGGTTAAGTTACTGTTTCAAGAATTTGAATGAAAGGGGCATTCATCAGCTTTTACTCATGGGCAAGTTCAATGATTTTCAAGAAAGTCTAATGTAAACTACATATACATGTACGTAAATCAAGTACATCTGTGAGTTTGTCTATTGTTTATCATATAATCTGTTGAGAGCCAGAAAGGCATTAAACTCTGCCGTATGGCAGCCGTGCTAAAGCCAGGGTAATAATCGGAAGCGTCAGGAGGGTCAAATCTGACTGACATGAGCGCTAAACAAGAACCCATAATTATTATTATTATTATAAATATCTATGTGGTTTGAGAATTTTATCAGGATTTTTTTAATGTTAGAGGGAGGGTACAGTAGAAGGAATATAATACCGGTAAGTAACATTTCATACAACAATTTTGATTTTTTTTTTTTTTTTTTTCATCAACCTTCAACAATGTTACCGGTTCACTTTAAGGTTCTCTACATACGATATTTATCTCAGCGATGTAAATATTTTATTAATGTATCCCTTGTTAATATATTTAGTATAATTTCCTTGAATAATGGTAATGTATGTGCTTCATAGAAAGCAAACTCTGTTGAATCCCATTTCTATCAATATTCTTTTTACCAATAGTATTTTGAGGCCTTGGAGCTGTGCCAGGACCACAATGTGAGCATCACAGAGCGCCTTGCTGAGAAGATGACCCTCTCCAAGGATGATAGCCAGGGTGACATGAGGCTGAAGCTCCTAGAGAAGGTTGCTGACCTCTGCTTCCTCCAGGGCTCCTACCACCTGGCAACAAAGAAGTACACTCAGGCTGGCAACAAGGTCAAGGTGAGTGCTAAAGGTCATCATTGTAAATTGGAAACTTGCCCTGGAAGATCTGGGACAATCTATATCAGTATGTGGTGATGAGCAAGAAATTGTTTAGATTAATGTGTTCTAAACCTGTTCATCCAGGGGCAACCTGAAATATATTGTTGGGCAAATATAATGGAAACTCTTCATAATGAGGACATTAGAACATGAAATTACTTTGTTATATGTAAGGTATCTTGTTTTATTATCCCCCTCGCCGACGAAGTCGGAGAGGATATAATAACGCTGCCGTCCGTCCTTCCTTCCGCCCGTGCGTGCATGCGTAAAAAATTGGTTTCCGAAAAGTATGTAGGTCAAAGGTCATAGCTCAATAAATATGCGAATCTGGTTTCCATTCGATAACTTGAGTAATGTTTGACAGATTTTAATGAAATATGATATGAAAGTTCATGGTATCAAAACACAGCCTAAGTTCGATTTTGGAGTATGTAGGTCAAAGGTCATAGCTCATTAAATATGCGAATCTGGTTTCCATTTGATAACTTGAGTAATGTTTGACGAATTTTAATGAAATTTGATATGAAGGTACATGGTATCAAAATACATGTACAGCCTAAGTTCGATTTTTGAGTATGTAGGTCAAAGGTGAAAGGTCAAAGCTCATTAAATATGCAAAAACACCTAATTATATATGTGAAAATGTGGTTAACTTCCTTGCCTAGTAATATAATAGTATAGTCCAATGGAGGTAACTTGTTCTGATGTATATACATGTAGGCCATTTGTACCCTGCGAGGGGGTGCTACGCTTTGCGTTGACTTGTATTAGGGTAAAAAAGAAAAGAATATAAAGAGCTGAGATCAGTGAAATTACCTTGTTATATCAGCAATCTCTATATTGAGTTTCTACTGTACATTACACCAACCTATTTTCTAGTTGGAAAAATTCATGCAAATCAAGATGTCACAAGAGTTATTCAGAGCTGCCCGGAATTGTCCTTTTTTTTCTCAAAATTATGGTAGTACGTTTTTTTCTTCATAAAATGCCTTTTTTTTTTGGTACACATACCGCACACAGAGCTGCCAACTAGTACAGATTTTCTTTAATTTGTACAGATATTAATAAACCTTACGGAAGTATGGAATGTTGTCTCAAATTACAAATTACATGACCACCAAAAAAAGCCTCATCTCTTTGCAGTATGACAGCCATCCAACACTTGCTGAGAAAGACAAAAAAGTATTAAGTATTCTCTTAATAGAACGGGAGTGAGTAAAATCACCCTCCAAAAAGGCTAGGTATAAGTTTTACAACATTTTTTCTCCTTGGCGTCCACGCAGTGATGTAGTGCCGTTTTTTTAGATTCATAGCGCCGCATAGGAAATTACTGATTTCCTGTTCCGGAGGTTCGCAACTCTGCGTACGTCGACCAAATGCCCTAAAATTGTGATTACTACTTCAATAGAAAATTAAGGTGAAGACATAATTAAAGAGAATAGGGAAAGAAAGAGGAAAGACAGATTTAGGACGGACGGTAAACAAACGAGAGAATCTCGAGATCTACCCCAGAATCCTCTCACCGGCACCAGAGTTGCCTAGGCCAATGATGGCCGAGAAGATTGCGCAACATACCGCACCGGTCTGGCAGGAAGGTGCCAATTGCGGTGATGATGTCTTCGTGGACCAGTGGATTTTTTGCTTGAAATTCCTTTTTTTTGCCATCATGGTTCCTTTTTTTGGTTGCACAAGATTGGCAGCTCTGGTTATTCGTCATGAATAATGAATTAATTAGGTTTAAATACTGTAATAAACTTGTTTTGAACCTGACTCTTTTGTTTACAAGCTCAACGCGGGAAATATAATTCATATCAATTTTTGTTCTTTCTCCTGAAGGCCATGCGAGCGCTCCTCAAATCTGGCGACACCGAAAAAATCATCTTCTTTGCGGGTGTGTCCCGTCAGAAGGAGATCTATGTGATGGCAGCCAACTATCTCCAATCCCTGGACTGGCGGAAGGATCCAGAGATCATGAAGAACATCATTGGTTTCTACACCAAAGGCAGAGCTCTTGACTCCCTGGCTGGCTTCTATGATGCCTGTGCACAAGTAAGTTCCAGCAAGTGCACCTCTTTATTAATGGTAATATTAATAGGCATTTATATAGCGCCATCTATCTAGATAATTCTATTCCGAGGTCCACTTTTTAATTATTACCCCAGCTTTAGCCTAGCTGCCATCACAGCGCTCTAGCATTTCAAGGAATTAATTCCTGCCAGGTATCCATTTAGCTTTCTACAGGCCACATTTCTCATGGGATGGGGATCATGTGCCGCGATTTGAGAGTTAACGTATCGCGTGCCTTGAATGGCTGCATGATCGATGCATGATTGTGCACACAGTGTGTGCGGGCAAGCACTGAATCCAATGACCGGGGTAATAGTATATTTGTAAAGCGCTTTGAGACATTTGTATTAAGCGCTATATAAAAATTAAATATTATTATTATTATTATCGAGCAGCAAATTTGTATTCGCTGTTTGGTACAGATTTACCATGTATTGCCAGTTACACTGCCGCTGCAAGTGCGATTTCTTATTTTTTTAAGGCATACCGTGCTAAAAATTCCTAATTCTTATTTTAAATGTTGGTAAGTATGCTGTTATAGGGTCAAAGGTCATATTTTGGTGGCTGTCTTTTGTGTGCTCTTACTGCTACATATCTAGACAGATTTCTTTCAAATTTTCTATAGAGATGCATTTTACTCTAATCTACACACATACTGTTTAGGTGATGCTGCTCCTAGTCTTGACAATAGATCGAGCCACTAGCATACCTGCCAACCCTTCTAAATAATCCAGAATATTAAGATTTTCTGGATTTTTAGGACCTTAAATTTCAGAATATTCTAATTCTTCAAAATTCTGATTGTTTAAAAAAAAGAAAATTATTTTGTTTGTTGCTTAAGCCAAATAAAGCTTGATTTATCATGTGCCGCGATTTGAGAGTTCATGTATTGCGTGCCTTGAATGGCTGCAGTACAGATTTACCGCGTATTGCCAGTTACACTGCCACTGCACTTGCGAATGCCTGTTTAGGGTACAGATTTCTTTTTTTCGAAGGCATATCGTGCTAGAAATTCCCAATTATTATTTCCAAATGTTGGCAGGTATGCTCAAGTGGTTATCTCTACGTCATCCTTTTGTTTCAGGGAGGGGAGAGGGGATGATCTTTGTCCCTCCTTCAAACATATGGATCACACATACATGTAAATCGCTGCCACTGCCGGGGGATACATTCACATTGCGTGGCAATACAGATACAGATATTTCTAGTTATAGACCTGTTTTTGCTATATGAGCCCCTAGATAAAATGAGTATAAGAAGAACAATCAAACAGTTATAGTCTTTGGCGGATGTGAACGTACATGTATATCATAAAACTGAAATGAATCATAGATGCCCTTTCTTATTCAGGTTGAGATTGACGAGTATCAGAACTATGACAAGGCCCTTGGAGCTTTGACAGAGGCTTACAAGTGTCTGAGCAAGGCTAAAGTCAAGAACCAGACACAGATAGAGGACAAACTTGGAGCCCTCAAGCATCGTATTAGTCTGGTCAAGAAGTTTGTCCAAGCAAGAAGGTATGTCCAACTTTATGTCTAAACAAAAATCCAAGGACAATAACCAACCACAATCCATGTAAATTTACCCACGGAACAATTCTACATCGGGCAAATACTCCCTTAGGACATCCGGCAGCTACCCCTAAGACAATCCCCCAAATGGAATTACTTCTTAGGACAACAACCCCTAGGCAATTGGATAGATAATATATTATGTTATATGTAGTGTTATTACAGGAGTATTTGCCTGATGTAGAGTTGTTGCGTATCTACATAATTGATTTCAACATGCAGTAGGTAATTATCATTGATATCTCAAATTTTGGTCACATTGCAACTCATTTTTTGCAAATTTTGTATTCTATTTCGTATTCTTGGTTTCCTTTATTGAAAAGGCTACATTTGTTTCCACTCCACCATACAACAGAGAGCTACGGCACATCCACTACTCGCTACACACACATACAAACATGCACGCTAGCGCAAGCATGCACACACACACACACACACACTTTAATTTTTTTAATTAAAAAAAAATCTTTTTTTATTCCTCCAAATGTGTAATACAAACATACAATTGAATGAAATAAATAACTGTTTTCAGTATTAATTGCTTATACATAAACATAATTAAACAAAAACGCATTTGCAGTATATAACCGAGCAATAATTGAAAGTAAACTTAAAGCTTATCTGCCATAGTTTACAGGAGGGATTAGACCGCCCTGCAAGGTCACTGGACAGGTGGTTATCTCATCAACTCAGCTCTCAGTTAACATAAGAAAAAGAGGATCATGGGGGACCAATGGTCACCGATTAGGCATTGTTTGTTATATAGAGGGCGCAAGTAGCTTCAAGTAGTGCAGTGGGCCTTTAAAGTACATAAACATAATTTATAAGTCAATTGTACATATTATTCACTTATTTCAAAAAATTATGAAAATGGAGATTACACACACACATAATATATAATCATACAACACACTCACAAACTCATACACAATGATTGTTTAAACACTTTTTCATTTAAAGTTTTACCTTAAGTTTTTTTTTTTTGAGGCCGCCATCCTAGTCAAGCATCGCTTATGATTGTGGTCTCCTGCACTTTTTCAACATAGTTTGGATAATACTTTAAATTTGTTATAATATCTTATAGAAATATATTAAGTTTCGTTATTTTATGTAAATATGTAAAAAAACATTTTGACATGAAGTTATTATTGTTTTATATTTTGTATTATACCTTACATTAATATGTTCTTTGTTATTCAGTCATTATATTTGGTAAATATGCAGAATTCTCTAAAAATCAAACTATATGCACATCTTTCATTTTTATTTGGTTTAGAGAATTTTTTTAGACCTTAATGTTATTTTTCACCTCTCTTTAATTTACCAGCCTTTAAATAGCTTCCTCCATGTCTGCCTCTACATTTTCATTTTTTTTTGTTTGGGGGGGGGGGGGGGTTGTCTTGTTTTGTTTATGTGTTTAGTAGCTTTAAAAAAAAAGAGTTTTGTAATTTCTTGTACATTATGGAAATTTCTTACGTAATTGTTGTTATGGAATAGCGCCGTCTGTGGCGAGACACATTGTAGTGCACAAGATGGATCTAGATTAAAAGGCTGAACCCAAAGTAACTCAAGATTGTAAGCCGCCGATATTAGTTGTTGTAGTTCTGTAATGTAGTTATCAGTAGGAATACAAGAAACGACATACAAAACATGGTATCAGAAGTTTGAAGTTACTGGATTCGTCTGGATATTTTTTGGACCGTTTTCAAAATGACTAAGTCGTGAGATTGTTAGCTCCGGAGGCATGTCCGTCTGTCCCGCTTTCTCGTTACCACAATATCTCAAGAACCACTAGAGATATGAGGCTCAAACTAGTTGATAATATGTATTCCCATAGGAAGACGATCTGATTATATTCGGGGTAGGTAGGTCAAAAGGTCACAGAGATCAACTTATGAAATTCCAGCTACTAGCCTCATTATCACAAATCTCAAGAACCATTAGAAAGATGAGGCTCAAACTTATCAATGATATGTAATCACCATAGGATGATGATCTGATCTGAATTTGAGGTTAGTAGGTCTTAGGTCACAGAGGAATATATCTGAAATATGAGCTTTAAACATGGTAACAGTATTACTATAGGAAAATATCCAATTACATTTTGGGGCTAGTAGGTCAAGATCATAGTCGTCAGTTGATATTTGATTAGAGGCTTTTGTTTTCATCGTGATATGTGACAACAAATTACATGCATTTCCTACCATGAATTTAGGGCCAATGCATATAGGAGGCGTAGTCACAATTGTCTCGTTTTTATTTTGTTTTTGGAAATGAAAATAAATGAAATGAAATGAAATGAAATGACAATGAATTGGATATTTTAATGAATGTGGACTAGTGATCGAGTGAACAAATTGTCTCTGTGTTTGGTTTTACTTCAGAGCTTATGATGAGGAACCTGAGGAATCAATGCGACAGTGCCAAGTCCTCCTTGAAGAGTCTGAACTAGACAGTGCTGTCCGGATCGGTGATGTCTATGGAATGATGGTTGAACACTATGCTAGACAGGAGAACTATAAGAAGGTAAGCTTATGGTGTCACATCAAAAGGGTACTAATTTGGCTTTTTCAGAGTTGGATTGTATGCCAAATTGCTGCATTAGTTGTTTTAGTAGATTTTACTTCATTTGTATATTTTTTACAGTTGTTTTTGGTCTCTAACTCTTTGGGAAGATTGTTGCAATATTTTCTGTCCTCTTTAGGACAAAAAACACCTTCAGCAACACCTTCAGCTGTTGTGTGTTTAAGTACACTGGCCTGGAAAAGCACACACTTAATTTAGTAAAGGTCTTCAATGAGGCCCATTATTTAGTAAAGGTCTCTCATTCAGTGTTTTAAAGGTCTATCTGTTGTGAAATTGATCTGATTTGATTAGTCAGGTTCCCTAGGCCCATATTTTTTAGTTTTAGGGACACAGTGGACAAAAGCACCAACATTTCTACATATGTACTTATCTGGCCCGGAGCTTTATCTTTCTCCACAGAAGCAACTAATTTAAATAATAATAGCTCTCTATATAGCACACATGTCCGCCACGTCGTGACGCTCCTGGCGCTGCCAGAATTAAATCACGTATTCATGGTTAATTGTGCAAATTAATGCAAACTGCTATTTATTTAGCTGTCTCTACGGCCTACACAGGAATTGATATTATATCTGCCCCAATAAATAAACTACCACAAAATATTTCGAGAATGTTCACTTTAATAATGATGTTCATAATTATAATGCTTGTGGGCGAGACTCTTTTGTCTTTGAAATCTGTAAGAAACAATTTTCCTGTTATTTGGAACTCTATTCCTCCTGAAATATCCTCGTGCAAGTCTTTAACTATACCTCCACAAGGCCATTTGGCCTTATTTTTTTGTTCCATTTTTGCATTTTCTTATAATTGCAAATGCTTATTATTATATATATATATATATATATATATATTTTTTTTTTTTTTTTTTTAATTGAAAATTGAAATGAATAAAAACGAATTGCATTGAATCTCTCAAAAATACAGTTTTTATGTATCCATTCATAATTATCATGACTATATCTACATTTTCTCCTCAGAGCATAATAAATCAAAGCTATTCTTAATGGTTAAATTTATGCAACTTTTATAGATTTAGCAGGTATGAGGGTCTACAAATCCAGCTCTCAACATCATTGACACAATGTCAGTGGATTTTGTTTTATTATAGGAAAATGACATCAAGATCATCATTTTGGGGTAATAGGCATTGATGTGAGGCTATATGTTGTTTCATAATTTACTACTTTGGCAACCATTGTCTGCTTGAAGCAGTGAGAAATTTTTGCATGGCGGTTTTCCATACAATCAACTGTGTTGACGGGAGCAGTCATGGGTTTCTGGCACCCCTTCTAAAAGTGATTCTTATGACTCACAGGGAAAATAATGAACTTTTTGTTTCCCCTTTATCCCCAAGCTTGTGTTAAGAGATCTGACTAGGTGTGAATATAGTTGTTTTCCCAATCTCTCTCTCCTCTTTCTTTTCTTTCCCTCCAACCTTTTTTATCTTCTCTTAGGCCTATGCATTTATGGAAGAGATGCGATCAAGGATAGCCACTGTCAACATGGCCTACTACATCAACATCCGCACGATTGAGGCAGTGCACCAAGCACTGGACATACCCCTTGGGCGGGGTACAGGGGCAGAGAAGAAGGGTATGGTGATGGGCAATGATCTAGGACAGGATGAGGATGATGGAGAGGAGGTGGAGGAAGAGGTGCAGGAGGATTATAATGAGGATGAGGCTTACTGCTGATGTTGATATTAATCAATTAGTTGGATTACTGTATAAGTAGTTATTTTTGTGATTCTCACTAAATACTTTTTGATGGCAAATTTAACACGCAAAAATATTTCCAGCAAGTAATGTCACATGTTGAATTCACTTTCCTGTTGCTTGTCGCACACGGCGTTTATACATAGTAGCACGAGCTTTCATCTGGTCGTAGGGCGCAGCCTGCGACCACTCTTTAATAGATTATTTTCATTTATTTCTTTAAAAATTCATTCTTATATCATGATGATTGTGATAATCATTAGTGAGTTTATGATCCACGGAAATAAAATAATAATTATTGTAAAGAATATAATTTTTAGTGGTTGTGGCTTTACGCAAATTGATCTCCTCACAAATTTGTCCTTGAAACCCCTGATCCAAGCCATTATCTTTTTCATACATACATGATGTAGGCATGTATACTACGGTTAAACCTGTGTCTGAAGATGGCTCAGTAGTGACTAGAAATCCAAGAGATTAGGGAAATAAAAAATGTTATTCTTGGTTCTTCAAGGTCAGGGGTCATCAGACTAAATATCTTATGTTGAAATGCTCTTGTTTCAAATTCTCTGTGTAGGAATCAAAAGCAACAACTCTTTACGTGTACCTTCTTATAATAATCAACCAGTAATATACATGCCTGTTTACATATGTTTTGGTACATTATTGCTGAATGAAAGGGATGATATTTCTGATTTTCAGAATACTATGGTGCCTGATTTGATGATAGAACAGGCTGTTTTCACTCTGATGATATAAAATTACTTTTATAAGGGTTTTCTACTAGATTGCTTTTGTTTTGTCATTCAAGAATTAAATTTCACCTTTTTCCTTCTCTATTCAAAATTAATTCATTGTTATTAATGTGAGATCATTTACAAAATGAGTTGTATTATATCACTATCACTATATCTACGGCCGGGAGAGAAGGGGGTGGGGGCATTATGGGACCCTCCTAAGATCTCTGCCGAGAAACAGCCGATCGCTGCGAAAAATTTGCATGAATGTCAAGTGAAGTGTATAGAACACTGGTAGTTTCAATTTTTTGAAAAATTTACTCATTTGCTTATTTATGATAATTTATGCAAATACAGTCATAAAATTCACATTTTTACCCATAACTCATGTATTCTTCATATTTAAACATTCTTTGTCTCTCCATATATTCTTTTGACCATCCATTTGGAATAGGTCCGTTTTTGGAAAAATGTTTTCTAAAAGATGCACAAGACTTGAAAGAAAATAGTCATTAAGCGGTGGGGCATCATCCTAACACGTTCCTGAACAATCAGAAAAATTGCGGAGCGGCCTGATTAGGGTTAACTTCCCGGCCCCCCACTCAGAGGTCGGAATGACCGCATGCGTGTTGCCAAAATGTCCGGTAAAGGGGTACTTTTCGTGCGACAAAGTCCGGCCCGAGAATTGTAAGAAAGGGGTGTATTTGACTTTTCACCCGGAGATTTCTTTAAAAAGGGGGTGTTTTTCTTTTTTTCTCTCATCTCTTTGGACTCCTGAGAAATTATTCCGAATTTAGGGGGGTACATTGAGCATTTTGTCTGATTTAGGGGGGTCTCCAATGCAAAAAAAGCCCGCGAAAAGCCCGCGAAAGGGGGGTTCGGAAATGTTGGCAGTCCTCAGATAGGGGGTGCTTTCAAAAAGAGGGTACGAGCATATGCGTACCCTAAATAACACTGAGTGGGGGGGCCGGGGTTAACTTAAATGTGGAATAGTGTTCGTTAATTTGGAAGTGAAAGAATTTCAATCAATTTAAACACATTTATGCCAATAAAACGATGATATTTCTAACCCTGTTTTGTATTCAGCAAATTATGAAGTGTTAATGTGTAAATGTTAACACATGAATTAGTAGACAATGTTGTGTGTGATGATATTGCCTTTCATACCTTGATTTGTATTACGGTACCGTCTGTACCATGACATCAATTAGATTAACAATAGCAGCTATTGTGTATAATTACGAAATAGCTACCTACGATTATATTTATTGTATTTAAAAATATTTTGTATTCCATCAGTGTCCTATGATTTATTGTTCTCAATGTTATGTCGTTGATGATGCAGTTTTATAAATTATTTAGACTCACTGAATTCTCAAATTATGTTGATTTCTCATTTATAGAAGCTAGGAGGGACAAGTTTTGTGTTTAATTTTCTTTCACCTTTAACACAAATAACTTATGCTGATTTTTGTAAGATCAATGTGCTTTTTGTATTGTGATATGAAGGATCAATTTCCTTGCTTTGTGCTCTTTTGTAAATATAGTACCCCAAAAATGTGATATATTTGTAAACAAAATATTCAGAGATATTGATTGTTATCTGTACATTGAATTTATTATAGATATGCTGTGGCAAATACAGTTGTAATCTTGTTGTTTCATTTCTTACTTTAGTCAACACTTTTGCATCTTGAGTTATAGTAATATGCATTACAAGAGAAACTGAAAAGAAAGATATTTCTTGTGCAGTACTTTGGTCATTTCAAGCAATACAATATAAGATGATGAACTAAAAACTTGCTGGAAATTGCATTCACTTGAAAACACAACTCACATACATGTAGGCATTTATGAGACCGAGATCATGCACATGTAAGTTAGCATAGTTATTGTAAGATGAAATAATCGTAAAGCAGACATCATTTATTTTGTCGTCACATACAGTAGAAGTTTTGTTTGATTCTATTAAAACTCATTTTCCTTCATTACCATTACTCAAGATAACTTCTAAAGCTGTGTAAAACATCTAAACATCAAATCTTGTATGTTTGTTGTATATACATAGTACACAAAAAGTGAACCCGGTCCCTTTCCCATCCCTTAATTTCCCCAAAATGACCCTCGTCATTATCAAAGTAAAAATATTTGATATATTACACACATAACGGACAGTTTTCAGGTACAGGTATATGTTTATTCACAGATTTTTGTGAAGTTTGAGGGAATCTGTGACATTTAATGAATGTGAGAATGATTATCCAAAAGTTGACAAAAACCAACAGTATATAAATGATTGTCTCCACACCAGTGTTTTTCAACCTTCTGAGAAATAGAAGTTTTGCCTCACCCTAATCCCACATTCATTACAGAAGATTCAATTTTCATCACTCTGGTGCACACCATAAGAGCCATATACTCAAGTACGGACACATTTTATTTTTCCTAGAATTTGCAAGCGAGTGAAGCAAGCGATAAAAAACAATGACGTTAAGTATGGTAACATTGTTACTTTTGTAAACTAAGTCTCCCTTGCCGTCGGTAGTCTTTGAATGGCTCACATTCACACCCTATTTAGTCACAAAGGGAGGAACTCGCAAACCAGTACTTCTCGGGGTACAATTAGTGAGCATTTTTTTTTTTTGGCCCTCCAAAATTTGAAAAATCGCACTCCCCCCCCCCCCCCCCTTGAGGGCCGGGGGGGGGGGGCCAATCTCCAAAAAAAGGTAAAATTTCTTTTCCCAGGGGCGCCATTGTAACAGGGCGATCACTTTAAAACCTAAAGCCTAAAACTCATGAGTTTACGGGGGCTCACGATGTTGAAAAAGTATGTTAAACAGAAAAAGAAAGAGAGAGAGAGAGAGAGAGAAAAAAAATGAGTGACCCGCTGATGTCACAAAGGAGGTATCAAAATATGCTAATCTGGCTGTAATTAAATGCCTAAAACCCATGAGTTTATGTGGACCCCACCAAGGGCCCTAAGGCGGGTCCCTGGATGCTCGTCTTCTGACCGTAATTAAATACCTAAAAACCCCAAGCTTCCGAGGGCTTTGCACCCAGGGGCGTCGCTAGGCTTTTTTCAGTGGGGGGGGGGGGGGGGGGGGGGGGGGGGGGGGGGGTAAAAGCCAACGATTACTGACAAAATTAAATGTCCAAATATTTACAAATTTAACCTTAAAAATCCGCCGACGAAGGCAACTTAGCATCATAGCTATATCATTTTATGGGGGGGGGGGGGAGGGTAGTGAGCACATTTTTTTTTTTGGTCCTCGATTAATTTGCACCCCCCAAAAGGTAAAAATCACGTGTTTTTACATGATTTTTTTTTCGATTCTTAATAAACCCTATTTGTCCGAATTCAGTTTCCCCCTCTCGCGCGAAGCGCGGAAGCTTTGTCGTTTCCTTCAATTATTAGAAAAAGCAGACGATCGATTCGTTGTACCGTTCGCGACTCTTAACCCTATTTTGTCTTATTCCCTCTTCCGGCGCGAAGCGCCGTAGCTTTAACGTTTACTTAAATTATGAGAGAAAGCAAACGATTCGTTGTACTGTTCTCGACTCTTAATCCTTATCTGAATTCAGTCCCCCCCCCCCCCCCTCCCGCGCGAATCGCGGAAGCATAGACGTTTCCTTAAATTATTAAAGAGACAAGACGGTTCGTTGTACCGTTCTCGCCTCGTCTAAATGAAGTTTCCCTTTCTGCGCGCGAAGCGCGGAATTTTAGGCGTTTCATCAAAATATAGAGAAAGGAAGACGATTTGTCGTACCGTTGTTGACTCTTAATCCTCGTTTGAATTTAGTTTCCCGAAAATGTTAAACCTCTGATTTCTTTAGCTGATATTATAGGAAAGTGCTCCAAAATGCGATCATTGTGCAATTACTCTAAAATTGGCAACTAATAGTCCCGAAAGGGGTGTGGTTTATGGAAAATGAATAATTCATTGTTAAAAGATGATGACTATACAGTAAACATAAAACATTTGATTAGAAAATTTAAAATGGAAAACGCTTATATGAACCCGCAAATGAAATGGGACATGTGCAAAATAAAGATTAAAGAATCAGGTATTCGAAACAAAAGCATAAAGAAAAGAACGAAGCTTTTAACAAATTACAAACTGAATTTATGTCAATGAGCTGTAAGACTGATGAAAATCCGTCTAAAGAAAATAAGGAAGAACTAGAACGAACAAAAATTAAATTAGACCAATGGTTAACATATAAATGTAAAGGAGCTTTTGTCAGGTCCAGACAAAAGTGGATAGAACATGGTGAAAAATCAACGAAATATTTTTTTCAATGCGAAAAAAAGAAACGGAAAAAGAAAAGAAATAAATTGTATTAAAAAGAATGGAAGGGTTGTTACAAACCAGGAAACTATTCTTAGTGAAATTGTTGAATATTATAAATGTTTGTACTCTAAAACAATCAATGGAGTTGAATCGTCTGATATTGATAATTATTTAGCTTCAACTATGCTTCCTGCATTAACGGAAGAAGAAGCAATGTCGTGTGAAGGAATACTTACCGAGGAAGAATGTCGAAATGCTATATTTTCTATGAAAAACAACAAGTCACCAGGTAGTGACGGTTTATCTGCTGAATTTTTAAAATGTTTTGGGAGGATGTTAAATCCCTTGTAATAAATAGTATAAATGAAGGTTTTAATCAAAAACAGTTGTCCGAAACTCAAAAGTTAGCTATACTAACTTTGCTGTACAAGAAAGGGGATAAACAATGCCTAGATAATTGGAGACCTATATCATTGCTTAACACAGATTATAAGATTGTAGCAAAGGTGTTATGTAAAAGATTAAAAAATGTCATAGATAAATTGATTTCTTTTGATCAATCAGGTTATTTAAAACAGCGTTCCGCTATGCAAAATCTACGTTTAGTTAAATATATAATTGAATACTGTGAATCAAATAATTACTCAGGTATCCTTCTTTTTCTTGATTTTAGAAAAGCTTTTGATACGGTTACTCATGAGTTCTTATTTCAACTATTATATAAGTTAAAGTTCAAAGAATCCTTTATTACATGGATCAAAGTCATTTATGCAAATGCTGTAGGGAGTGTCATAAATAATGGTTGGGTCTCGCAAAAATTT